TTAGTGGTTGCTTAATATCCTAACAATTACCACAGCCACGCATGAACAGGGTAGTGGTTGCTTAATGTCCTAACAATTACCACAACCACACATGAACAGGTTAGTGGTTTCTTAATATCCTGACAATTACCACAGCCACGCATGAACAGGCTAGTGGTTGCTTAATATCCGAACAATTACCACAGCCACGCATGAACAGGCTAGTGGTTGCTTAATGTCCTAACCATGCTCGGATATCATGACGATGACCACACTGACCACGCATAAGGCTAGATATGCTTTGTCGTGTTGTGGATGCAGTAATGTCGGCATGAATGCCTATCAAACCTTGCAGATTACGATAAACGATTATAAGGAAAGGTATTCTCAGCCGGCAATTTATACTGAAGGTCCGAGAGGAGGAGATAGCGTCAATGACTGTCAGCCTCATCAGGTACCTAAAGAGATGGTTCGGTGACACATGCATAAATGTTAAAGGCACACGAAGTCAAATGTGCTGATATATAAAAGATCATTCACAAATCAGGACTTCCGGGGAAGTTCAAGTCGTGGATTTGCCAAAATGGTTTGCTTCCAATACTAGCAATAGCATGATTGCTGCTGCTTATGTATGAAGTATCAAAGTCACTAGCAGAGGGCTTCGAGAAGACATCGAGTTGGTACCTGAGTAACTGAGGTTCAACCTATATTCACAACGGTCGACAGCTCAGCTAATCTGCAACTACTATTGAATTCGGTAGCTGATGAATTCAAAAGTTGCGAAATACAGATTGATGATGACAATGGGGGACTTTAAAGACACAAAGATAAGCTATACAAAGATACAGACACGAACAAGGAGGAAGTGCCCAGCGCGTGCTGTGGTGAGAGAAGCATTGAGTATGCTGGGGTTTAGGGGGTTGATTTCAGCGGGAATACCATAGTCGGTAGATAATGAAATGGCTTTCCCCATTTCAGCAGTAAAAGACAAACAAGAAAAACAGGAAAAACAATTTTAGAAAGAAATCAGATGGGGTTGAGGAGGAAAAGAATGAAATGGATCTCATCAAGTAGGGACCATAGACCAGGTGGAACCGTTTGTATACGACACGTTACCGGTTCTGACGGAAGATCCCTGCTGCACCTGCTTCAGACTGTGCTACACATCTTTTCGAGATGCATTGAAGCATTCAGGCAAGGTGGGTACAGGTGGAGACACGAAAACGCCTTGTGGGTGCGAGCAGACATCATTAGAGAAAGTCCAAGTAAAGCTTTGATGTACCTTACGTCCATTTTGGATCGGTCACAAACTCAGGAGAAAGTAGACCTGAACAGGAAGCTTATATGCTTCCAAACATTGAAGAAGCAATGCCTGATATGGAAAGATAATCAGAGCAAACCTGGCACCCAATCGCCATAGAGCTCACCGTCCAATGAAAGGAAGATTGCAATTAAGAAAGCCCACGAGAGGAAGAAAGAAGCGCGAGCAGAGGGTGAACGATATAGCTCTTTCCATTGGATGTTAGTTATAGACGTGTCCCTGCCAGTCGGTATATGGGAGACTGAAGTCAAAGGGACTGACTGGGAGAGCCAAGGCAACAGTTATCAGACGATTTGGAGAGTCTGCGGAAAGTGCAGCATGCTGGTTAGGACACCGACGAATAGAGTTACAGTCTTAGCCGACATAATGAATAGTGGTTTGGTTGACGCCATCAGTCTGGGATTCGATTCCAAGTGGTATTTATAAGTAAGCGTTCACCGTTTCATTTATATTGACTCGCAATAAAATATATATGGACTTACACTTTTTGTATATAACGTACATCATCAAGGAGTGAGCAAATGCAGCTTCACCTAAAACCAATGCTTACCTGTTACTAAAAATAACCAAGAATGGCACAAAACATTCATGACTCTAACGAGATAATTCGTCAAATAAGGTATAATTTGAACAGTGGAGTACAAATATGTTTTTTTTGTATATGCGATACGACACAACACTGCGCACAAGGTAAATATATTACAAACCTATGCTTAAGGGGACGGATTTACATAGGTACTTTGTACTTGTTTTCGAATCCTACATGTATGTATCGTGTTTGCATTACTGTAATATTATACCGATGATAAAAATAAGGTTTAAACTAATTAAGTAATTGCATTTCAAGATACAATCAAAAGAAAATTTGCGCTAATTGTTGATTAACCCTTTCACCCCTATGTAACTTTAGTAGACCCTACCATGTATTGATCTGGATGAGTCGATTATGGTCTACAGTGGTGAAAGGGTTGAGTCAATCACCTTTTTAACAATACGGTCTTGTTCGGCAGTAAAACATTACTGATAAATCATAATAACAACAAATCGCGAATATTTTATTCTCATTGAATGTGCGAGTAGTAGGACTCGGCAAAAGTCATAGAGGTATAAAAAGATAGCTTTAAGATGTTCCCAACTTCAGAAGGCTTGCCCCACTCTTAGCATTTTCAAATTAATTCTACTTCTTGTGCAATGCCTTCTACACAAGGAGACCCCGTCAACTTCCTCAATTCGGGTTCCTTCAAGTTCAAAGTTTGTTTGGTTATTCATTTTAATTGTAGATTCTTAACAAACCCAAAATTGTTCTTTTCAATGATCGCTGATTTACACCATAATGCTGCATCGGAACCGACTTTGGTGACCAAGTTGTTCAGAATTGAGCAGATTTTGATTGATTTGGTTTACAAAATGTTGATTTTGACTTTCATCTTTTTCGTTGTTTGCATACGTACGGTAGAAAATGTTTTTTAAAGGTTGATGGGAGATACGGGAACTTCATAAATTGTAATGTTTCGTGCCAAATATTAGAAAATCAAAATATGAAATATATAGTCAAAGTCAACATACAAATTGCCTTACTGGGAAATTAAAATGTTGACATTCAGAGATAATTGCATTTGCAGTGTCACGTCCTTAAATCGGTTTCATAGAGTTAGGGACATCTGTAGATTTTGATACCAAAGTGTTTCATTTTGTTTTACCTCCTGCATACGTTATTCGTGTAACTGTCCATCCGCCGTTTCTCGCAATCATGAGACATTATAAAAAGAGTCTAAAAGGACACATATCATGTGATGAGTGTAAATTTGTTATGTCCTTTTTATCAACGGGACACACGTTTGCTTTTGACGATATTATGGCAACTCCCCTTAGATTTACAAAGACACATGCATATATGCACCTTGCGTTGTCATGGCTGTGCTTTGGTCATGTTTTGGCTATCACAGTTATCCAATCGCGGACTAGTAATACGTGTATATCTTTAAGGAGCTGTCGTCCACTAAATCACTAGATATTGCAGTGGGAAGACACGAGTATACGTATACGTATCGGCCAGTAAAGTTTGACTACCTTATGCAGCTTGTTACCCTGTATCAGCCGTCACGATCACTGCGGTCGGAGTCATTGTTGTGTGTCCCAAAACTCTCGTACTGTGACCTATGGAAACCGGTGCTTTGGGAGGGTTTCGGCCACGTTGTGGAATAGCTTACCATCTGCTATTAGAAAGTCAAATATCCTGGCCGAATTCAAGAGGGACATCAAAACTCACCTCTTCTCGTCTGCATTTTAGGGTCTCTGCAATGACGTCATGTAAATACCACCCTTTATTTGTTCAATTATGTGCACATTGCTTGCTTAAATGTATAAAAGTGATTGTAAGCCTTTGTATTTTTGTTCCACAATTATAGCTATTACTATTATCCGTATGTTGTAAAAGGCTTTAGAGTAATTTTACAAATTAAATAGGGCGCTATATAAATGTTGTATATTATTATTAGTATGCATATCATTATTACTCCAGTCTTAGAACTCAGAATTTACAAACCATAGACAACGGTCTACTTAATATTAATTTCTTACAGAATACTGTAATTTCATAAACTACACCATAAACAAGACAATTTTACTTACACATTTAGTGCTTATATCATGAAATTAAGCAAATATATATTTTATATTGATAAAGAATTTGACAGAATACTTTTTGCCCTCCTACTATATATATCATGGAATCATCACAGGGAATAACTTCATAAACAACTGGGTCTATGAAGTAAATTATTCCCATAGATCTAGTGTTTTTTATGGTGATTGTCTGTCTATGGGTCTAGGAACACTGTTACTCCTGGTTCTGTGCATACTTTTAGATATAAAAATACATATACAACAATTATCACATAATGTACTGTGTTATCCAGTGAATGTACCCATGCCATATTTTTTTTTGCATATTAAACCCATGTAATATGACCTATCAGCCCTGTGATTGGTTGAAAGTTTCAATTGTGACGTCACGCCTATGGATAAGTACATGACGTCATAGACTTCCGCATTGGAGTCAAAATGGCATTTTTTTACATTTCAGGGTTGCATTAAGATTGTCGTTTTACACAAATAAATGCCACAAATCTTGATTATGTGATAAAAATGATCTTACACTCGTTTTCATTTCATATGAAATTTATGAAATTTATGGAATTAAAGAAACTCGTCACGAATTTTTCATTTTAGCTCGCTAAATTGAAAAATTCTTAGACTCGTCATAAATCTCATATGAAATGGAAATATACTGTATAGTAAATCATAAAAATGTTTAACTTACATTGAAAGGAAATGTAAGGAATGTTTTCGTTCCATGGTAGAATTTTCTCATGATCATCCGTATGGCAACAGATTTCTGAGGTCTTCCGGGGTTTCTTATACAGTTGTATGCTTCACATACCTTATAAGATATACTCAGATATTATTCCGTCTTTGCGTATTGAAGAGTTATCTTCTCTTGGGAGCAGGTATTGATTGTTACGTCATTGGTTTGTGCGAGAAAATTACGTCGTTTTCTCACAAATTGATGACGTTACTCTCTCAAACAAGTGACGTAACAATCAATACCTGCTCCTAAGAGAAGATAACTCTGCAATACGCAAAGACGGAATAGCAATTAGGCAAAAAACATTGAAAACACAAACACTCATTTGAAAGTCCACATATAAATATTTTATTAATCTGAAAAAATTATACATATAAAATCTCATAAGAATGTTTCCCCATAATCACAGTTCTGCTTCAATATTACATCCTCTGTATAGTCTCATTAAAGACTCAATTGATAGACTCCATTAAAAAATACACATAATCGGTAAACACATGATGTTAAAATGTTTAAATCCTCAAAATAACCACTTCAGAATCTGTTTTTTTTAATAAACAATATATCCCTATACAGATATTTTGTTACCCAGGCAAATTCTTTCACATCTGCACTTCACTGAAGGATTGGTTGTCATATTTTTGACATGCATTGGTGTGTAACATAGATTGGCCTACCTACATATTGAATGGTGTGCGCTAGCGCACAATGTTAAATATGTAGGTAAGCCAATGTATGTTACATTTACATTTACATTTTATGCTAATCAACTTACAGTTCACGCAGAAATAAAAACACAATATTGAACTGAACATGTTTCAACGTCAGGGTAAATCCATACAGAGAACAGCAACCAGTTGACAGCGGAACAGCGCAATCTCCAACGTTACAGTTATGACGTCATAAGCGTAGCGACGTCACAATGGCCCAATGTATGTTATACGGAAATAACAGACATTGGGCCCGGTAGAAACATCTAGGCTCTGTGCAGTGGAAATGCAAATATTTAGTGATAACAAAAGTCCATAGAATAAAGATGAAACTCCCACATACTTTTTTCAAGATAAAACGTCCTCAATCTTATTCATATAAATGACCTTAACCCACTTTTAAGGTCACACGGGTCAAAAATGTTTAGTTTGTATTCTGTATATTCCACCACAGCTTGCTGGACCATCCAGTTAGTTAAAATAAAAGATCTTGAACCACTTTCAACAATATACAAAACTGTTTTATAGTATGAAGCTCATTCTTTATGAGGATACAGCTATAAAGCTAGAACTCGTCCACGAAAAATTTAAATGCAATGGTCACAGTACAGGTATTTCACAGAACACAAAAGCTACAAGAGGTCAGGTAAGGATTCGAATGCAAAGCCGCAAAATTTGAGCAGAAATCTGCCTGGTCACCGGTAATCACATTAGTTCAGATCAATCATCATCTATTATATAAATCACAAATCCAATATTTTAAACAATGAACTTAAGTCATCAAACATTATGACTCAGTACTGCTTAGCAACCTGTCCTCTAGTACATTATTATGCAATGACAAAAAAAATATGTTGGACTGTACTGGTTTTAAACCTGAATTGGACATCCTTCACAAAATGCATCAATGGACGGGACGACTGGATTGGAAATGTAACGCACAGTTACAATACAAGGTACGTCTATATTGAATTTTAAATATTTATAGAGAAACCAACATACAGTTAAGGTTAACAGTACCATTTCATCAGCTAATGTCACAAAGGAGAGTTCCACTTGGAGCTTTACCGACGAGGAGCATTCTTCGTTCAATATTCGGTCTTTGCATATTGCAGAGTTATCTTCTCTTGTAAGCAGGTATTGATTGTTACGTCATTGGTTTGTGTGAGAAAATTACGTCGTTTTCTCAAAAATTGATGCAATACTCTCACAAACTAATTACGTAACAATCAATATCTGCTCACAAGAGCAGATAACTCTGCAATACGAAAAGACGGAATAGAAGATGAAGCAACCCAAAGGAGTTTGTTTTCTGGCTTAAAAGTAACTTCCCTGTCAAGTTATATTTCTTTCTTTGTTCCTTCTTTTTAAATAGGCTTTGCGACCCGTAAATTGGACACTTATTTTGGTGCTGTACTTTTATATATGTGTAATTCCTGGACAGCAACAACAGTAAAGATTCCTTGTTCAACTGCAGTTTTTCTGTGATCTTTTTCTAATTTTTATATTAACATTGCATTTTTATTTTCGAACATTCAAATAACTATGATTCTGTAAAATGCATAGTAAACTCCATGGAATATATCTTTTGAAAAGGACTTAAGCAGATATTCCACAATAATGACAGTGGTGATAATATAGATTAACATGTTGGTATCTTTAACCTTAATACATCAAGTAATATCAAACATGAAAAAGTCAAAGAAATTATCTTTGCCAAATATTGGATTACAAAATGAAAGTACATCACATTTTACTTCATACCTGAAAGATGTATGCTACATTGTACCTTACACATTATAGTCCTGCAATTTACAAACTATCTCCCCTTATTTTTCAAAATTTACAAACTACTTAAAGTTTCAGAAATACTTCAGGGTTATCATTACATATTTTCCAATGTATCTTTCAAAAATGTCATCAATGTATTGATTAAATATATTTATAATAATTTTTGTTTGGTGAGGAACTCTTTTGGCAAGGAGATGCAGTAAGGTAGCATAAATCCTTGATGAAAAAGGCATCTTGACAATCAACCTATTCCTCCGATGAGGACATGCTTGGAGGTCAAACAAAGGGGGCCCTCCAACGAGGAGAAGTACGTAAAAAGTCAAAACTGTACACCAATGGTAGCCCCACATGGGAGTCCTTGAATTGGTTTGTCCACTGAAAGGGAGGTAATCCTGTTCCGAGTGTTGGCCCATTGACGATGTCTGCTACAAAATTCTGCGCCATGTGGTAGTCTGAAACCTAGAGAAAGGAAAAACCAATATGTAAAGATGGTGAATTAATTTACATCCCAGTATATAAATACCGTGAACTCTTGGAAATGCTGCTGCTTTTATTTTTTACAGCTTGGTGGCTTCTTTATGAGGAAAACAAGAGTTTCAAGTTCACATTATTTTATGATTTTTGAAATATTAAAAAAATATAGGGTGCCCTGTGTAGGATAGTGTAAGAGGGAAAAAGCATCAAGTTAAACCAGTAACAAATGTAAAATTCACTGGGACAAAGCTAACTAAAGGCATCACAATTCCTCAACGTCATTTCAAACCATGTTTTTTAATCATCAAAACTAAAACAAATAGGTATGCCCTGGGATAAAAGGAAAATGATCATTATTCAAATTTCTACATTTATTTTCAAAAACCTGGTTAGATACTTATACTAAATATCATTCAATCCTTATTGATATATATTTCCAGATTTTCCAGGGGTCACTTTCGGCAGTTTACACTGTATATACCAATTTGCTATTTCATTTAAAGCAATAAGTTGAGAACAAGGGTCAAGAATGAGAGCAAAGCTGTGAGAGGCAGGAACTGACCTTTGTATCATAGCAACCAGATGCTGAAGACGATTCGTTTTTCAGGTCGCCACGGCAACATATAGCATTACAAGCGTCTCCCTCAGAGTAAGAGTCGTGTTGGTAATCTGAAAACAGTTGTGAAGCAAAGGTGAAAATACTGTAGAAAATGACAGAATTTATGAGTTTTTTCAGCATTATGCAAAAATAGTAGTAAAATCTCTTACCAAATTAAAAATGTAACATTCTTACCATTTACTATCATTATTACTGATTTGAAACTAAACACAACAACATGCAAATTCAGCCTCTTAAGATGAAGCAATCAATCTTAGCAGTTCTTAAGAAGAAGATTTTCAAAATTACCCATACTTTACATATATGTTAAACAATGACCTATGTATCTTGCCTTTTTTTTATGGCACAAGCAAACTTACCTTGATTGAAATAATGGTCACATTGATAAAATGATAAAAATTAAGCCTATGAACATATTTTGAAGAAATCAATACATTGTACTACTTTATTGACAATCTAGCTTAAAGGGTTAAGCATCCTATTCACTCATTCACCCCTGAAATTTCATAATGAACTATTCCAACCTTGAAATTGGAACAGTTCAAATGTGTCTTCAGGGGTTAATGAGTTAACAGACAGATAATGCATTAATTTTTATCGGGACAAAGATTACTGCAAATTTGTGAGATATTTAAACCGCTGCTTACCATTGTATCTCATGATGTGTTTCATGCTCTGTAGGTCCAGCACTTTGCCTTCGTCTCTCCGGAAGATTTTGGCCCGAGGAGCCAGCTGATAGGAGTTGTCTGTCCCATGCTGGGCCACAAAGTCGGGGTAACCGCTCATGTTGTAGATGTCTTCGTAAAATGGAACATTGTAAGAAGGCCAATATCCTGAAATCAACAATCGTTTGAAACAACAGTCAAGGGACAAAATTCAGCAAAGCATTTGGACCATTGCCAAAACACTTAATTCAGCAAAGTATTTAGAACATTGTATAATATCCAAATGCTTCTAACAAACAATTTGGAACATTGCACAATAGCCATTTTTAGATGTTTTTCAGGGTTAGACAAATGCCAATGATACTCATAGCAGCGTAAAAAAGGGGAGGGAATTTCAACAAGTCCCCGAGTATTAATTTGATCAAGTATGGTGTGTAGAAAACTTCCTTTTTGTATATATTTAAATTATAATTAAAGATTCAATTTTATTCAAGTTACAAAATGTCCGTACAAATATGGTTCCACTGTAAAACAAATAGTGAGCTCACCTGTTCTAAGGATTGGTGTCTGGTCACCTGACGTCACTCTTGTCGGGATCTGTTCTACGACCCACAGGGCATTGTCATTGATGGTCTTACCCAGTTCTATCTGCTTCAGGTCGACTATCATATACTGATTGTTGTAAGTCCCTGTAACAGCACAGATAAACAATATTTACTGGTTGTAGCACTTACTCCTTTAGACAGTATACAAGCCCCTATGGAATGACACCCATTTCAGAGGATATTTTATATTTTAGAAAAAGAAACCAAATTGTACATGTATCCTTTTTCTGGATTATTTTTAAGGGTTATAGAAGTCTCCCTGTAAATATTTGTATGCCTCCGCCATAAAATGGGGGGGGGGGGGCATATAGTGTTGCCCATGTCCGTTCCGTCCCGTCCTGTCCCGTCCCGTCCCATCAATGAGCGGGGGCATTTATGTCTTACAGACATTTTCTAGTTTCAATGTTAAAATGCAAATCCTTACCAATTATCATAATAGAATTATATATAATTACATGGTAGTAAAATTATTTTTGGTTGATCTTACTTCAATTTTTTACCCCTTATATCGCTTTTCATTTTTTTGCAATAAGACTTTATTATTAGTGTGATCAATTTAACAACAAATTCTTCTAAAATTCATCAGAACATGACAAGACATGACAAATGTTGAATATGAAAGTTTTGATTTGGGAGAAATTAGGATTCAAGGAGGGGAGAATTTTTGGGTCGTTACAAAAAAACAAAAAACAAACAAAATAACATGAAACATCTTAGTTTTAAAATACTGGAAATGAGTCATGTTAATAACATCATAACTCACTTTGTTTTTGTAAGTTATCAATTTTTGTGTTAATTCCTCCAAGAGCAAGTATAAATCCTCTGCCAATGATATTTCCCATAGAAATTTACTATCAATATTGAAATAGCATCCTCTGAGCTACAAATTCAAGTACATGTATTTACACATAAAACCTACAGGTACAGTGATTCACACTATGTAAAAGTATGTCTCACCTGAGTTGTACTTGGAGAAGATGTCTGCCCATTCCCTACCAGTGTGAGCCATCATACTAGCTACTCTGACACGTTGCCATGCCAACAGAGACTTGGGCTGCACCGTCTGGTACAGCGAGGCGTTGAACACGTTGTTGGTTGTCTGTAGTAAAACCATCTTACTTCCCAGCAAATAAAAATCATCCAGCGACTCCAGGAAACCTGCCGGTCATTTACACAAAGTTAATTCTGTCTGTGAAAATAATTCTATTCATTTTCATATACAAGGGATCTGTTGTTTAAAGATGATGTCATGAGGGTTACGGAGATGTCAGGAGTAAACAGTGACATCTTGAGTGGTAACATTGGAGTCACAGCGATGTCATGAGGGATATAATGATGTCAAGAGAAAGTCAGTGATGTCATAAGAAAGACAATCATGTCAGGAGTAAACAGTGACATCTGGAGTGGTGACATTGGAGTCACAGCGATGTCATGAGGGATACAATGATGTCATGAGAAAGTCAGTGATGTCATAAGGGTGACAATCATGTCAGGAGGGTTACAGTGATGTCATGAGAGATACAATGATGTCAGGAGACTCACAGCGATGTCATAAGGGAGACAATCATGTCAGGAGACTCACAGCGATGTCATAGGGAAGACAATCATGTCAGGAGGGTTACAGCGATGTCATAAGGGAGACAATCATGTCAGGAGGGTTACAGCGATGGCATAAGGGAGACAATAATGTCAGGAGGGGTACAGCGATGTCATAAGGGAGACAATCATGTCAGGAGGGTCACAGCAATGTCATAAGGGAGACAATCATGTCAGGAGGGTTACAGCGTTGTCATAAGGGAGACAATCATGTCAAGAGGGTGACAGTAATGTCATAAGGGAGACAATCATGTCAGGAGGGTTACAGTGATGTCATAAGGGAGACAATCATGTCAGGAGTGTGACAGCGATGTCATAAGGGAGACAATCATGTCAGGAGTGTGACAGGGATGTCATTAGGGAAACAACCATGTCAGGAGGGTTACAACGATGTCATAAGGGAGACAATCATGTCAGGAGGGTCACAGTGATGTCATAAGGGAGACAATCATGTCAGGAGGGAAACAGTGATGTCATAAGGGAGACAATCATGTCAGGAGGGTTACAGTGATGTCATATGGGAGACAATCATGTCAGGAGGGTTATAGTGATGTCATATGGGAGACAGTCATGTCAGGAGGGTCACAGAGATGTCATGAGAGATACAATGATGTCATGAGAAAGTCAGTGATGTCATTAGGGAGACAATCATGTAAGGAGGGTTACAGTGATGTCATAAGGGAGACAATCATGTCAGGAGGGTTACAATGATGTCATGAGGGAGACAGTGATTTATCCCACCCTTCAAAGGTGTGTCTCCCTTTTAAGCCAGAAAAGATCAGCTTGTCACTCCCGAGGGGTAAATAGCCTCGTGCAGAATGGCTTCACGCCATCAATGCATTGATGTCACATCAACAGTAGAAACCATGGAGACAACTCTGGATTTTCTTGAAAAACATGCAATCACCGCTTATATTTCATGCAATCACCGGTTATATTTCATGCAATCACCGGTTGTCGGCGGATTTATGAGTGAAACAGGGTGGGAGAAACAATCATCTCTTACTTTGAGTGTATGACAGAGAGATCTCTAACCTTCTGCAAAGCCTCGGGTGAGACAATCAAGAACACCACCTCTCATGTTGGAGATTTCTCTGTCACACCCTCAAGGAAGGGGAAGATTCTGTTAGTCATGAGGGAAACAGTGACGTCATAAGGAAGATGGTGATGTCCTGAGGGTTGCAGTGATGTCAGGAGTATTACAGTGTTATCACTAGGATGACAGGGATGTTAGGAGGAAACAGTGATATGTCATGTGGGAGAGATATGTCAGGAGGGAGACAGTGACATCAGGAGGGAGACAGTGACATCAGGAGGATTACAGTGTTGTCATTAGGATGACAGGGATGTCAGGAGGAAATGATGTCATGTGGGAGAGATATGTCAGGAGGGAGACAGTGACATCAGGAGGGAGACAGTGACATCAGGAGGGAGACAATGACATCAGGAGGATTACAGTGTTGCTATGAGGTTGACAGTGATGTCAGGGGTGGTGACAGAAATGGCATGAGGAAGACAGTATTATAAGGAGGAAGACAGTAATATATCAGGAGGGAGACAGTGACATCAGGAGTGGTGACAGTAATGTCAGGAGGGATATAGTGATGTCATGAGGGAGACAGTGATGTTGTGAGGGAGACAGTGATGTTGTGAGGGAGACAGTGATGTCATGAAGGAGACAGTGATGTGGTGAGGGAGACAGTGATGTGGTGAGGGAGACAGTGATGTGGTGAGGGAGACAGTGATGTGGTGAGGGAGACAGTGATGTGGTGAGGGAGACAGTGATGTGGTGAGGGAGACAGTGATGTGGTGAGGGAGACAGTGATGTGGTGAGGGAGACAGTGATGTGGTGAGGGAGACAGTGATGTGGTGAGGGAGACAGTGATGTGGTGAGGGAGACAGTGATGTGGTGAGGGAGACAGTGATGTGGTGAGGGAGACAGTGATGTGGTGAGGGAGACAGTGATGTGGTGAGGGAGACAGTGATGTGGTGAGGGAGACAGTGATGTGGTGAGGGAGACAGTGATGTGGTGAGGGAGACAGTGATGTGGTGAGGGAGACAGTGATGTCGTGAGGGAGACAGTGATGTCATGAGGGAGACAGTGATGTCATTGACAGTGATGTCATGAGGGAGACAGTGATGTCATGGGTAACAGTTTGATTTCCTCATTTCCCCACCCCAAAAGATTATGACAACCAAGGTTTCATAGCGTGATAGAAAAGAATAATAAGATGACATAATCAAACCAAGGAAATATGACATCTCTATCATTTTGACAAGTTAGGGAATGCTTTGAATTACAGTCATTGTCGTTACCTGGGTAGCTAGAGAAGGATATCTGTCTAGCGGCTGTGGCGCTGTCTTGTACATTGATGTCCCAGTGTTTGAAGATCCTCATGGTGAACTGATACATAAACCAGCTGGAGTGGGACATGAACACATTCTCATAGGCGCCCAACACCTGGAAGAAAAAAAGTATAAGTTCTCATTTGCTCAAAACACCTTTAATTACAAAAAAATGTCCTCATCCACCAGCACCTTGCATTATGTGTAATTCTCATAGGCTCAAACTACCTTGAAATACATTAAATTTCAGTAGTTTAGTGTTAAAATGTAAATGCTAAAATTTCTCCCACCTCTCAATACGTACCCCACATGGGAGCACTCAGTGACCTGTTCTATTATGACGTCACAATATGCCACAATATGACGTCACAATATGCCACAATATGATGTCACAATATGACGTCACAATGTGCCACAATATGACGTCACAATAGAAAACATTACTTGGATGTGGCAATCTTAACGTAGGCATGTGACACCACCTAAAGAACACAGGAATTGTTGTACAAGCTTGCCTTGAAGGTCTTGCATGAACCATTAAATTTGAGGTATACCTATGGCGTACTGTGCTTTTTACTGCTATTCCCAAATATGGCCTCAGTTTGTGTACACACCATCTAGAAATTTTACTATATTGAGTGTTGCATTTGCATTGTCTACGTCCTGTTTTATCGAAACTTTGGTTAAAGCATTCACCCCTGAAGACACATTTGAACTCTTCCAATTCAAAGGTTGGAATAGTTCATTATGAAATTCTAGGGGTAAATGAGTTAAAAGGTATAAGGAAAATAGTCAATCATTATGTAGATATGTAGGATATGGATAGTCTACCCTCAGGGGGTAGAATTTGGGTCAGAATCGAGGCTTAAGGTTCTGACACCAATTCTGCACCTGAGGGTAGAATATCTCTATCCTACATACCTACCTCTCATAAGACTCTGTTTGGAAACAGCTAGTTGACCTTTTAGATAAATCCATTATTGCTCAATGACCCAGAAACAGAAAATTACAAATGTCTTATACAAATTAAACACTAGATTATTTTCTATCATAAGTAAAACTATAAGAATATAGCAGATTTCTTTATTAAAGGAGAAAATCTCACTAAAATACCTTAATGAGAGCAGAACAGAAGCCATGTCTTTGAATGTAAAGCTTGGCTTCCTTGTGTGACATTTTTTTCCAGTCAGGAATACTTTTGGGGTCAAGGGCGTGCTGAAGGTCAATAAGGTCACCAGCTCCGTTTAACACTTGAAAGGCAAATACTTCCAGTTGCTGAAACAGATCAATAATTCAGTTAAAGATAATGTTTAGACCAAAAATAATGTACATTGCATAGAAAGCATTAAGAGTTCTTACATCTTTTTATTCTACAAGAAAAGGCTGAGAATAAACAAAGGCCTTTTTTTTTCAAATAATGTAATAAATATCCAGTAGCTAGGGTTGTTCCAGAAATTCATACGTTATGTGATGGTACGTGTGTGCTGAGTGTGTGCGTAAGTGTAAATAATTTTATGTGAATGTAACTTATATTCCGATCTTAAGAGTCCCTCTGTTTGAATGTCCAAGTATGTTAGATCAATCATTTATTTCTATAGATCATAACGAACAATTTATTTTTCTTATGAATGAAGAATCGCTACGACCTGTCTTAGCCAAGTCAGTTTTCCTTTTTATGAAAAGGAGACTTGGTAGTATTCAAAACTTGATATGCATTTTAGATTTTGTATGACTATATACCTCTTAACCCTTTCACCACTGTAGACCATAATGGAATCATCCAGATCAATGTATGGTAGATTCTACCAAAGTTTCCTAGGGGTGAAAGGGTTAATATATATTATTATTATGTTTGTGTGGTGGTGGTGTTGGTGGAGGGTAAGAGTTGGAGGTAGGGGAGAAAGAGAGACAGAGAAAGGAGATTTAGGCACTTATAGTATGTATGATATAGGTAAAGGAGTCTAAAATAATTGTTATTGCTAGTACAGTGCATCCTTGGGGGAAAACAATTTTGGTTGATGGGGTCACAATAAACTTATCAAACATTGCTCACATCTTGCAAGACACAAATTTTCATTCAAAGTTGCGAATAGAGACCATAGCAATCTCGAGTATGGCATTTTGAGTCTAGTTGATATTCAGTCCAGGATATACATAAAAATTGAGGTATGCTAGTACTACATGTATTATTTTCTTAATTAAGATCCTTGCAAATGATTTGTTTCAAAGTGCAACTGCTTTAACTTTAAAATGTTCACAAAATTTTAGATATTTAGTATTTACGATATAACTTGTGTACATTTATGATTATATCCAAGTTGTACCTGATTGTCTGGGGCTACCGATTTATACCCATCTATGAGTCCATCGTACTGGTCGATCACCAAGCCCACGTGTCTCCACACTGGGTCAGCTTGGTTATTCTCTACCATCTGTCTCAGCCACACGTCCTGGTCCGATAGGAACGTCTGTAGTTTAGTTATGTATGCCCCTGACTTTTTACTGAGGAAATAATCCTTTGCATTCTGGTAATGTTCATAAATCCTCCTACAAAACATTGTAAATGAAAACAAAATGATAAAAGTTCTGTACGTTTTGACTAAGAGATAGCAATCTAATAAGGATTGAATGGACTCTTTTTTTCAATTTCATGCTGGTATGAACACAAATTGGTTACATACATATTCCACAAAGCCACAAAGCCCTAGCAGGCTTCATGTTAATATGCATGTTACAGATTTGCATTCATTGAAAAAATACATTTCAATCCTTATATTTTCGATATTGAAATGTCTGTGTTGTCATTAATGCAAACGAGATTCATGGAACAGCCTTACGTCACCGAAATGTTTGCTTCTAATAAATGTCTCATGTTATACGAGGCGGGAGAAGCTTTAACATGACGCTGATCAAATTGCATTTATAGCTATATGAATGCAATTTCTTCTGGTAATCCTTATTATAGGAGAAACTTGCAGTGCAAATATTAATGTAATTAAATAAACATTTTTCTTGAATTATAAAAGGAAAACATCCAACAATATCAAAATTGAGTGTCAGGACTCATAAAAACACATTATGATAAAATATTCTAATATTGTATTAATAATATATATTGATAACAATGTAAAATATCAATTTATTTATTTCAGATAAAGTTATCTTTAAAAATGGTTAATCGAAGGTGTTCTTATTATTTTTGCCCCCACTACACTTCACCACTTATCAAAAAACTTAACTCGGAGTAGAATATACCATCGTGTTGAGGGATTTTTGTTCAAACATTTTCCCACACTCACTTAGCTGTCAGAACTCCTTCCATGAAGCCGGTACCATACATAAGTTCCTGATCAGTAAACTTCACCTTGCCGTATCCAGCAGAAATGTCCAGTATGCCCCAGCCCGTCTCCAGGAGTGTGTCGTTGTAGGAGCCGAGGGCAGTACAGTCACCGGCCATCACAGAGGCTTTGTACTGACAGTGCTTGCCCTTGCAGTAGACACAGCCATTTTCATAGGATGCTGTGGACATATTTAAGAATTGCAGACAAGTCAGCAAATTAATTTGGTAGGCATTTTACAACAACTGAAATGGCAACAAATCAATAAATTACCAGGTACAATGTAGCTCAATCGGTTAAAGCATCTGTCTAGAGTTCGGAAAGACCTGGGTTAGAATCCTTGCCTGGCCGTTCCATGTTTTTCTTTCCCGTTACAATTTATTGTATATATATATACTAACAACCCTTGGTTAGAAAACATATTTTTTCGTATTTTAACATTTTATGATTTTTGAAACTCTTGTTCATCATTCAATTTTCGGCTTATTTGTGTAAAAGGACAGAAAAATGCACAGCAAAACTAGGGTTTGAACCCAGGACCCTCAGGATATAGACAGACATTCTACCAATTAAGCTACCTCGTCACCAACAATCCACCCAGTCCAGTTCCGCTTCATTCCTCCCATCCCTTTTCTAAGTCTTCGCCCCCAAAGACACAACTATTTACAACCCATGTCCGGGTATACATATCCCCTTGCCAAGCTTACACCAAATGCTTGAAACAAAGGTTGGTCACAGGCACCACTGTATCAGGAGAAAGAGAAATTGAACGGCCAGACCGGGGTTCCAACCAGGACCCTCCGAACTCCAGACGGACACTCTACCAACTGAGCTACCTGGTTGGCAACAATCGACCCTGAGTCCAGTTCCACTACATATGAATTACACATTGTGGTTTTTTTTCAATAATAATTAAAAGAGAAAATTAGTTTTTTGAAGGGAAGTGAAAGTACAACAGGTTATGCTGTGCATTCAACTATTATATATAATATATAAAGTGATCTTAAACACAAGACACTTTTGGTTGGAAACACTGATTTGATGTGTTTATTATATATACACATCATATTAATGTGTGCAGCACCTGTAGTTAAAAAGTAAAGTGAAAGTGGTGGTTTTTTTTGGAAAACGAAAATGAGGATCCATGTGAATGCATGGTCATCAATAAATTTTGCCCATTGTTCACAATACTAATTTTTAGATGCATTACCTGTACGGCACATTTTAACTGGTGCATCTTGTTCTGTGAATTGGGTTCCTGTGATTCATTCATTCATAGGCAATATGAATGCCAACTGGACAAAGACAATAATCATATTGGATTTGCCTTTATCCGGTTGGAATTCATATTGCCTATGAAAATGAAAGCAGTTCAATACTTATATTTACCAGTTTTGGAATCTGTTCACCTCATAAAATATTCAATTACACTTATTATCATTCAGCATTTAGTCAAATAATATATGTATCTTGTATGCTTGTTCAATTAATAGAACAGCCATCGCCCGGGAAGGGTCAGAGGTATCCAATGTAACAATTATGACGTCAACAATCGGTCTATGGCATTCATATATAATCAGGTCCAGTACACTCTGCCGATTGAGCTATGTAGCTGTAAAGACCTTTAATAGCTCTATTGACCTATCTAAAATAGGTATTTGAGCTATTTTCATGTGATTTTCTTTTTGAAGGAAAACGAAACAAAGTCGCTTTTAAAAGAAGATTTTAGCATTAGGTTGATAACAAAAGACATAAAATATAAGTATTCTTTTTAAAAAATAACGATGTAAAAAATCGGAAATTTTACATTTATGGAAAATGAAAATAAAGTTAATCATCTAAATGAATACTTTTTGTAGTCAATATAAACCTAATTGTTTTATGCGACTTTGCTTTAATTTAATGAAAATTGAAATATGATAAAATATAGCTCAATACAACTATAATTTATAGGTGAATATAGCTATATCGGTCTTTATATAATTATAGCTATATTATAGGACCTGATAGTGGCCAATTTTATTTTGTAGTCGGTATACGACTTTCACTGTTTGAGTGTTTCAGTCGAAAAAAGCTGAATATTCTTACCTGATGTTACGCATTGAGTTATTACAGCAATCGCTGTAAGAGCTAATAAAACATGTCCCATCTTCGTTTCCTAACAGCTAGATATCACTTGCTTGGATGTCGGTCGAGAACTGTCATGTGCTGGTTATTGTGTACATCGAAGTCACGAGGATGTTTCATTGTCTTTCATATAAGTATTATTACATTTAAAGCATTACTTAAACCCAGTTTTGGTAGGGACCATCTATAAAACAAAGTTGGGGGCTGTCTCGAACAATAAAAATATGGAATATTAAGGATCCTTGTCCATCTGTCAAAGGAACATAAGATGATGTTACCACGGTTTTTCTAATTTATGATAACCTCCCCTTAATAGAGTTTTTGATATAACTGTAGTGGATTTGAGTCAGTAAACAGTCGCTGATCTCGTACCTAAGTTGATATTATGATCCGAGACCAATGGCTAAATCAGTTCCACAAATTCAATGTATGGGTTCCTTTTCCGAAATGATTTATTAAAGTTGATGTCATGATGGAACAAGTTTAAACCCAATTCAGAGTAATATATTTTTCGGGACAGTGACACGGGGATCTTTAAATGGGTTTTCTCGTGTGATAACTTTAACCCTTTCACCACCGCAGACCATAATGGAATCATCCCTATAAATGCATGGTAGAGTCTACTAAAGTTACATATGGGTGAAAGGGTTAATAATGTTTGGACGTATAGCTATTTATTAAATCGTGGTTTTTTTTGTGTGAGATCCATTGTCTAGTGGAACGCCATCTCATAAAACAAAGTAAGGACACTCTGGAGAGGGCGAAAGGGAGGTAACGTTAACATTCTGCACTTGATTTAATTTTTGACCAGAACAAAAAGTATATTCTCCCAGGGACGTATACTGTCCCTGATTCTCCTGAGACGGACATGCACACAACAAATAGTTAAATTATGCTAGGAAGATCATCAAATATGATGTTGACTGGTAAATGAAAGAAGTAGAAAGAAATTTTGGACAGAAAATTACAAAAAAAACTTTTTTAGAGAGAAGCTTTTTACTTAATAGTTTTGTTGTCTCAGAAGTAAAATGTTCAGGTTTATTTGCGTGTTCGTTGATGATTTTGCTAATTATGAGGCTTATAATTTGTGTACTGTACTGTGTTTTTGATGTATATGTGTGTCGGAGACATTGATTTGCTGCTTTTCAATAATTGGTTACTAGAGGTAAGAGATGGATCAAGGATTTAAGCTCACCTACGACAGGTATTAAAGGGACGTAACCATAGATTTAGGTCAGAAAGCTAGATGTGCGTATCAAACGAAGCAGGAGGCACACTTTTATCATACACATTATCAACAGTTGGAGACTTCTACTAATTTGATTTCGTAACAAAAACAAAAAATATATGTTATGCTCCAACTACATGTATAATTTGCAATTGTATTGTAACAGACACATATTTTATTGTGCTTTTTCATCATCACTAGAGCACTCTAGATTGCAACTAACTATACTGGGCCGGGTTATACACGAACTCTATTTGAATTAGAAACTGTATTTCTGAAACCATGATATGGGTGGTTACTTATAACAGATGATAACACATTTTGATGAATTGGTCATAAACAAATACGGCTCAGATTGAAACTAGCTAATTGTATTCCTATATTTTAATACTGATTATTTTTTAACTGATTACACTAAAACTGAGTTTAAGATACATCTTTTATGAATAGTCTACGGTACTGCAGCAGGTGGTCAAACAACATTGGTTCATTGGTTCATTGATTGTGACACCGTTGTAAGCGTCAGTCGCTTTTTGAGATGCTTCTTAATTCTGTCCACTTCACTTCCGGTTGCATACATGTATGTAATCATCCGCTGTTTATACTTTAGATTGTAAAGGTCTGTATACTAAAGATCCTGAAGTCATTTAATTGTGGTTCCGATGAAGTAAAAAATTCACAGCACGATAAGAAATTTTGGTGGAATTTTAATCCCACAATTTTGTCATATTTTCAGTTACCAGCGGTCTTTAATAAGATAATTTTCAACCACTTTACCAATAATGTTAGATAAAAACGTATATCTGAAAAGAAAAAATCATCATAAAAACCTATGAACGCAGAAAAAAATGAAAATGAGAATTCAAACAATCTATTTCGGATGCTGAATATTGACATGATTATATTTTTATTAGATGTAAACAATTTAGAAATGCATGAATAACTGATTGTAACAACCAACTGTAGGACCATTTTCTTTACAATAACATATGTATATGTATTAGCCATATTGGCACTCTTATGGGTCTTAGATGAAACTCACGAAAAAGTTGATCTCAATCAATGCAGCTGCTGACAGACATGAAAACCTTTTATTGCTTAGTTTAGCCTGATTGGTAAAAGCACGCCTACGCTTATCGACTAGTTTAGACAGGTGCTCCCGTCAGCGTTTCTCGTCCGCCTCGATCTCACGATGCTTTGTGTATGATCTGTTCCCGCGAAAGGCGACCGATCGTCGACTGGGGAAGGGATTTCGGTCAAAATGAAAAACAGGAAACGTCAGAAGGATAACAGTGGTGTTCAGGAGTCGCAGAATGAGTCGGCAGAGGCTGATCGGGAGCTTTTCTTACAGGCATTTGAAAGTAAACATATCGGCGTCGCTTTTGCTGTCCCAGTTCTCGCAACTGGAGACAGGAAGTTGTATTTATGTAGATCTAGGCCTATCAGTTTCCTAATCGGGTTGAATATAATTTTGTGTACAGATATTATCATGTTTCACTTACACACTTATTTGTTTACATATGAAATATACACGAATATAGAATTATAAACGTATCATTAAATAAAGACTTAAGCTTAAAGTAGATGCGATTTCATTTTGATTGAAAACACTCGATAGACCGGTTCTTGTATCGATTTTTATGATTGACATCTGTTGATGGTAACGATATGTTGTACGTAATCGGGGTATCGATCGATTGGCACTACAGCTGCCATGTGTGTTACCGTCCGCTGTGTATATTGATAGTGTCCGTTACAATTGGCGCGTTTTACCGTTATTTTTTCAGTACCGAAAAACCCAATTTAATTTGAATAACAGTATAAATTCAGCATTTGTAATCAATTGATCTATGTATGATAATATACATTTTTTTTATACAAAGACAGCTGAATAATTGCATTACTTTTTAGTTTCCAAAAAGTATTTTGACAGTTGATACTTGAAGTGATTAGACAAAACATTTAATGAAAAATAATAAACTTGTTGGACAGTATTCAGGGGTATCAAAATAATTATGTAGGGTGTTTAATTCCACAAGTCAGATGCCTGGGGCTATATAATAACAAGTACAAACTCAATTTGAACACTGATAAGACGAAAATAGTAGTTTTCAAAGGAATGGTGGCAGGATAAGAAACAACGAAAAATAGTTTTTCGACACTAAAGAGCTCCAAGTCGTCGACCAGTTTAATTATCTAGGCATGCTCTTTAATTACAACAGTACATTTTATGTCACTCAAAAGCGTGTTGCAGATCAAGGTAATAAGGCATATTATGTGCTTTGTTATTGTTCAAAAATCATAATTTTAATATCAAAACACAATGTTCTGTATTCAACACTTATATTAATAGCGTCTTAAGTTGCAGTGCAGAAGTATGGGGCTTTCATAAAGCTCTTGATGTTGAAAACACGTTCATTTTTGTAAAAGGCTACTCGGAGTCGAGAAAATGCTTGTAATAATTTAGTTTATTGTGAGTTAGGAAGATAGCCATTGACTTTGACTGTAAGTAGAAAACTAAACATTTTTAAATATTGGTTAAAATTAAAAACTTTGAATATTTGCATTTTATAAACATGTTACGTGGAAAGATTTTTGTCAAGTGATAATTTGATTTTAAATATCCGCACTGAACTCAACATATGGAGATTAACTTACCTTTGGGACAATGTTAGCAATGATAGAAATATCTAGATACAATCATTGAGCAAAGACTTTGACTTTTACCGGCAGGAAATATTAACTAATATCCTCAAAGGATTCCTTTATCAACATCTAATAGATAATTTTTCTGTGCAATCTTAATAAAACCAAATAATAACTCATATAAAAAGACTTTAGCTCGTTTTAGATTTAGCTCTCATAATTTTTAAAAATATTGAACAGGGAAGATATAGAAACCTTCATAGAGATCAGAGATTCTGTAACTTATGTAACTCTAATGATATTGAAGATGAATTTCATTTTATATTAAAGTGTAACTTTTATAACGACTTCAGGTGTGCGTTTATTGAGCCTTATTATTACAAACGACCAAGTGTTTTCAAATTGATTCAGCTATTTACTACTCAAAACATTAAGGAATTGAATAAATTAAGTAAATTCCTGTTTTTAAGTTTAATATGTCGTAATAGCACTGTTTAATATTTTATCCAATTTTTCCGGTAAATGTACATTTCGGTATACCATAGTTGATAAGATACGTACGTATTATGTGTATTGTGTAAAAAATAAATGATTGTGCCCGTTCATTAACTTTCCTATGTGATATAAAATATATGGTAAATCAATCATAATTAACAGTGTCGAAACATCGACGAGTATTCTCTGTATTGTAATCTGGAAGTAAATATCACTGTCACTAACGTCAGGTGTAACATCGTATTTACTACACTATGGCAGTGTATTTTATTGTTCTTTACTGTTCTACTAGATTGCGATACAATGTATGTAACTATAATAAATCCTGTTATCATTACCTGTAGCGTACGTCATTGAAAGTTATCATAATATTATTATCATTGTAATATACTATTGTTATGATTTCACTGTATCAGAACCTTACGATGTTGGTGTATTTCAGTGTAAAATGATGTATGTCATTTTGTACTGCATGATTAATGAGTTATCACGTATGCCGTTGCACAGGGCTTTTTCAAGGGTCACTCGGGGCCAATATATACAGTCCCATTCCCAGGGTCACTCGGGGCCAATATATACAGTCCCATTCCCCATGGGATTTGGGCTTCATTTTTCCAAATTTCAGGAGTTTATCCCCAAAGTCTGGTGATATTACACATTTGGACCTGAAAAGCATGTTTTATGACCAAAATAACAATTTCAGAACAAAAAATTCAATATACACATTGTTATTGTTGGTTGTTGACCGACGACAGGAAAAATGAACTCTTTTGGGATGAAAACGCAAAGCCTCTTCTTGATCTACATATATATACAAAGTCACCAGAGCGTTCGAAAGTAGAGTATTTCAGTAAGCGCCTTTACCAAGCATCTAATTGGCCTTTTCTTGTTGATCAGTTGATACGTTCGATAATGTTTGAAGCTGCTGGACATGTCCTCGCATAATGCCAAGTATTATGTGAAATCAATAAGAAAAAAAGATGCAAGCCAATGCAGAATACACTTTCTTCAAATAGTCGGGTACTTTAGATCCTGTTGAATCGGAACCAAATGTTGCAGTTCAAAACGATCCGTGTCGGACGGCAGGCCCATTGGGTGCTGACAATCCCTCAAACTTTTGAAAGTTCTGGCGATTAATAATCAGAATCACAACAGTTATAGTTCAAACTTTATTTTCTTGAATGAATGATGGAAATTGATGGTGAACAATATAACTAAGGTACAGTACAAAATTAATTGAATGAATTGTTAATCCAGTTTCAATTGAAATATTTTAAATTATTTACATCTGAAATTAAACTAGAAACAAGATCCAAACACACAGCCAATTTTAATATCTTTTAATTAGAATAGTATTTTCAATTGTGTACATGCAAAAACTTCAATGATTAAAATCTAAATTCAATTTTCTATCGAGACAGAAGTCATAAAATTTTCAATAATTGTGTTTTTGTGTAGTGACTACAGGCAGACTGGAGAGTGCCTTACTCCCCAAGACCTCCTTTTATCCCTCGGGAGGAATGATATTCTGAGGAACTGGTTTCCAAGAGCATCCTCCCTACTAGAACTGATGAACATTGTACCAACTTCAACAGCCTCTGTGGAAAGAGGCTATAGTACGATGAAAGGGCTGTGTACTGCTCTTAGGAGCTGTTTAGCACAGAGACATTTGTCCAATCTGATGCTAATTTGTGTTGAAGGTCCTTCTGACCTGTCTGATGAGGCCCTAGACTCTGGTCAATAAGTTCAGGAACAAACAAACTAGAATCCTGCCTTTGTAGTCAAATATAGGAAAATAAAGAAAATTTGAATGAAAATTTCGTCAATATATTGTCTTTTATTGAAGGGGGGGGGTTCCTTTTCCCAATTTACCTAGAAAAAGCCCTGTTGCACAATATGCATCATATTGCATTTGACTATTATTGTATACATGTATCATTGTTAATTTGTATTATACTGTACTATTTGTATGTCTTCTCTCCGATGTGTCTTACACAAGGAATAAAACAATCTGAATCTATGCCTGCTGGGGCTAGTAGATTTTATCTTTGGCCATGTGGACATTTTCAATATTTACTTAATCTAAATAGAGTGACAGTGCAGGCTAGTACTCTAAATGTTGAAATTATAAACAGGGTTTGTGTTTGTAATCACCAATGTCATTCATTTAGGAACCCATATATCTAGATGTTTTGTAATGTTTGCCTTAATCAAATAGCCATACAAGTGTTTAATATTTTCACTTTTTTAAATTTCAGAACCTACACAAATATACAGATATCTACGCACAAGAAATATAGCTTCAGTAAGTGCAAAAATAATCAAATTATCATATTTATTGAGATGTGTATAACTATATATCGCTTCATCGGACGTCTGTGGTTATTTTAAAAGTGGACCAATTAATTTCCTTCCCTCTCTCTCCCTTCTGGAGCCTAATTTCCAAGGCATGAATAAAATTTTAAAGGGGGCTATATTGGCCCACCAAAATTCTGTGAATACAATTGTGAACACATCTTCATTACTGCTATTATATAGCAGATGTAGGTCACTGTAACCTGTATTATGTAGGTCACTGTAACCTGTGTTTTCCACTTAAATGACTTTAATTATTTTTGTGTATGTTACCTAACTTATAGAATAATAATTCCTCTATTTTTCTAGCCAATATTCCTGCATCGCACACTGACTTACATGAAACAAAGAAGAACAGCCAGAACTAAGAAAAGGTTTGGAAAATAATTAAGTGAATTTCTGAACTGACTTTATATTTCATATATTTAAATTGGTGCAGTGATTTTTCTACCTCCTTTCTACAAGGGCTTGTGACTTTGGGAAAATATTACACTCAAAAAGCATGATNGGTGGGGGGGGAAATAGCTCAGTATATTTTTTATTAGTAAGTGTTTAGCCCCATGATTTACAACATTAAAACATTCTCATCAACATAATTTTGGATAAACTTGATAATAATGGGACATATTTTATGAATGTTGAAACTATGTTGAAACTATGTTGAAAAAATCACTTTTTCTTTCAGAAAACATTTCAAAATTGACACGATGCTTAGCTCACTAGAAGACAAAACCAGAAGGACTTCAGAAACAGATAAGTAGGTACCACATACTTTACATGTCTCAATCAGCATTTCACCAAGGTTTCTCCTGTATGACTTGCATCATCTTGGTTTGACCTTGCATTTGTGAGCTTAATTACTCTTTATGCTAGCAAAAGTCCAACAGACGTCAAACTATATACTGTACATGTACATGGATGCATCTTAATACATCTTGATTCTTTGAGGAGGTCAATGTGGGTCATTGTGACATATATTTCTGCTACGCTGACTTTGGTTAAATTTTGTGTTTATCTTCATTTCTTTGGTTTGATTTTGTTCAGACTTCTGACATTTTCTGTACATAATCCCCCCCCCCCCCCCCCCCCCCCTCCTTTTGGAGAAACCATTGTGGTAATGACCCGAACACCCAAAAAACCCGCTCTGAAATCCACTGTTTTTGAACGTCTCATCCCTTTCCAATAATTGTTGAAAAATTCTTTTCTCATAGTGTAATAAAGCTTGTATTTCAGAGAACATGATGCATTACATTTGTACTCAGAATCCTTTAGGTTAATTTAGAATTAGAAATAAAACAACAATTGGATTTAAAAACAAAGATGTTGCTTAATTAATTTGATTTCTGTATATTTGCAGTTACAAGTCACAATTTATGAACCTGAACTTTAGTGCTTTCAATATTGATGAAGGTAGGTAATAATGAAAATTTTGTTTTTAAAGTATTATTTTAATTGAATTTAAACTTTGATAAAAATATTCTTGTTCTCAGAAAAAAATCAGACCCTCAATATTGGTGATTAAAATATTCGTGAAATAGATTTATGCATAATGATAATTAACCCATTAACCCCTAAAGTTGCATTTGAACTTACCAAATCAAAGAGTTAACATCTCCGATTTGAGGTTATGGGAACTAATATTGATGATATGAGGACTGATTTTGATATTTAATAATGAGAAGCGATATAGATCTATATTATCGGATCTAATGTTGATATTATGAGAACCGATGATGTTGTTATGAGAAGTTAAATGATTTTATGAGGACTGTAACATGATGAATACTGATATTGATACTACTGCTTTGAAAATGTCACCAGTTATTATAATGATAATGTTATTTACTCGACATCACCAGTTATTATGATAATGTTATTTACTCGACATCACCAGTTATTATGATAATGTTATTTACTCGACATCACCAGTTATTGTGATAATGTTATTTACCCGACATCACCAGTTATTATGATGTTATTTACTCGACATCACCAGTTATTATGATAATGTTATTTATTCGACATCACCAGTTATTATGATAATGTCATTTACTCTACATCACCAGTTATTGTGATAATGTTATTTACTCGACATCACCAGTTATTATGATAATGTTATTTACTCGACAGATTATGATAGAGACGCCGTGGATGTAGAAGTGACACTTCTGAAAATCTGCCACAAAAAACGAAAGGTATGTACTACATGTAACACTATCAGCCAAGACTATTTTATACGTATATGTTTATACTGTGATGTAGTGAAATTTCTTCCAGGGATTTTCCAAATTGATTTACCTTGTCAACTCGTGTAGATCTGAATGATGTGATTTCCGTGTCAGAAACAAATGGAATGAAATATTTGTAAAAATATCAATATTGGAACTTCTGACATCCTCGATACTCAAGGGACTATGCTCACTTTCGCTCTCTGCACCCTGGAACATGTCATAGCAAAATTGAAGGCACACAGCAAGCTATAAAAAAAACCCTGCTGATTTCTGTCCTTTGAAGATTACACATCAAAGGACCAAACTAGCATTTTTGTCTTAATTACACCGAGTCTTCAATTTTGCTATGACAAATTCCCTGGGTACAGAGAGCGTAAGTGAGTAACCCCAGGAGTATAGAGGATGAACTTCTGAATACAGATGCCATACTTATTAAGGGTGTTAGAAAATACAAGACAATTGAAATTTGATGAAAGATGATCAAAATATGATGTTAATTTTTGCTACTTGAATATTTTGTAGGCCGACTTGTTGAAAGTATATAGTAAAATAGATAAACTATTATTATGATTTAAAATCTGCAAATGGTTGTCACTGAAACTATTCATAGCATGTTGAAGGTTATTCTGTACAGTTGTTGAATGTTTTGTAGCATATGTTGATGTTTACTCCATAACATTGAATGTTTAACACAATGTTATGTCCTTGTTGCTTTGAATGTTTCGGAGGATGTTGATGTTTACTCAATAACATTGAATGTTTAACACAATGTTATTTCCTTGTTGCTTTGAATGTTTCGGAGGATGTTGATGTTTTCTAAATAACATTGAATTTTTAACACAATGTTATGTCCTTGTTGCTTTGAATGTTTCGGAGGATGTTGATGTTTACTGAATAACATTGAATGTTTAACACAATGTTATGTCCTTGTTGTTTTGAATGTTTGGGAGGATGTTGATGTTTACTCAATAACATTGAATGTTTAACCCAATGTTATGTCCTTGTTACTTCGAATGTTTCGGAGGATGTTGATGTTTACTCAATAGCATTGAATGTTTAACACAATGTTATGTCCTTGTTGTTTTGAATGTTTGGGAGGATGTTGATGTTTACTCAATAACATTGAAAGTTTAACACAATGTTATGTCCTTGTTACTTTGAATGTTTCGGAGGATGTTAATGTTTACTCAATAACATTTAATGTTTTACACAATGTTATATGCTCTGTTACTTTGAATGTTTTCGTAGGATGTTGATGTTATGTGTTCCTTTTGAATGTTTTGTAGGACGCCTCGTCACCGGTGATGAAGACTAGTCTAGGAAAGGTCCAGGTGTCTGTTAATCCGACCAATGTAAACGGCATTCCCAGCCGACCGGTGGCCACAGTCTCCGTGCCAAAGGACCATTTTGTCCAACACAACGGCCACTCGGTCAAGTCCTTCGCCTTACTGCTCAGTGTGACCTGTCCTGTCACTCCTGAACACACAAATGGCATGTGCAATGGCGACTCCAGTGATCACGGTAAATTTTACAACAGAAGATGTATCGAAAAAATAATGTTAAAATGAAAAGAATGTGAACAGTTTACCGTTTATAGTGGTAATGACAATTGATTATAATAAACAAAATGGCCACTTTGCCCTTTCCAATTCCGATCATTGATTACAAATTTCATATTTGACATAGTCACTTCATTACTTCACTCAAGTGTCAAATCACGCAATGTAAAGTTTGCATTGAAAGTCATTTGTTTTTATGGGTTTTATGGGTTTTATTATATATGGTTCATGAGAACGTAGAGAAAAAAATAAAAATATACATAAAATTTGTTTGTAATCCATTCATCATAAGCTTAAAAGCATGTACAGAACTTTAACAAGCTGTCCATTGATTTAAGATAGTGTTGTCACTTATTTAGGTATTCATCCCCTTAAAATTGTAAACCCATCATGTAGTCAATCATCAATTAGTTTACTACTTCCAATTAGCTACTGTTTGATTTTAAACCCATTGCCTATCAATATTTGCCTTATAAAGTGTATTCCCTATTCAGTTCCTATCGTTATGATACTACTATGAAACATGTTTTCTGCAAGCACACTGAATTTAGAATCAAGCTTAGGACAAAGTGCTAATCATAACTCTGTCCCATAGAATTTGATATTGAATCTATAAATAAATGTATTTCTCAAAATGTCCTTTATTTTACAGAAGAACCGGTGAATAAGAAGAGAAAGAACGGTCAGTCTTACAACACCTCCATCGTCTATGGGTCAGAACTTGTGATATACGACAGAAAGAAGAGGTGCCAGCTAAGTGACGGGGACTACGAAATCGTTATCAAAGATCTTCAAGCGAAAGTCCTTCCGAAGAAACAAGCGTCCTGGGAAACCATAATGGATGGCAAGGTATATCTTGGTACATGTGCAGAGGCACGTGGCAGTGAGCTAACAGTTTTCAGCTTGCTCTGACGGGTATTCCATGTAAAAGCCAGTCAACTTGTTATCAACCACCTTCTGTTTCAGAAAGTTTCACAAAAAATCAAAAAGTTTCTTCCATGAGAAAACAATCAGCACTTGGCCAGCAGCAATGTTTTCAGTGTCTGATGTTGCAATGATGAAAAAAATTACAGCATGCCAATATAAAACAGTTAAGAAGAAAACAAATGTTGCATTTGAAATTAAAAAAAAAAAATCCGTAGTATTACTTTAATAGTGGTTATGTGTAGGGAAGACGATCATACCTCCGAGAGAAAACGCTAACACAGATCACAGTAGCACTAACACAGATCACAGATTTGATATGTGAGGTAGTGTCATTTTAAGCCTGTGATAGGTATTTCTCTGTCTTGTCACATTACTGGACATTCTGAGTGAAATACAAAAACGGGCAAATGTGTGTGTGATTGACTGATAAGTTCATTGATGTGCCTTTGTACTCCAGGCTGTCGGTGCCTTTGAGGTATTTAATACCTATCCCACGCTGCGTTTCACCATCAGCTGGACAGACACTGCTCAGGATCTCCACGATAACTCAGGCATGCTGGACGCTCACCAGGAATTCCTCAGCAACAATCAATATTCCAACCATATAATGTCCAATTGTAACTCAGGTATGTATTGTCTTTAGTCAAATCGGCTTGAGTGACCTACCCACTATCAAGCAGTCCATTTTCTTAAGAGGTCACTATTTTTTGTGAAAAGATTCATGTAGCACAACCAAGAAGTGTTTATATGTGACGTTTCGATGACCGGTATGGTATGTACTCTGTCACCTTCATCAGACAAATGACCAGCGAAGCATATGTACACAAAGGTGTAAAATATGTACGAGTTGTCCGGAAATCGATGTCGATTCGGCTATGCTGTAAGCGTATGTACAATAAGTTGTTACATATGTACGGAAATGACTCGATTCAGCTACGCTTTGTTTAATACTCGGTCATAGATGTGCAAGAGTTTATGAGCCCCCTCATCTCGATTTAGAACTGGCCCACTGCATCGTATAAAGAGGTCACTATTTTCTCAACCCCACAAAGAAACATAGTAATATTAAGGTAGAGAGTACCATCACTCTGTGTTGTATTTCGAACAAAGATGAGTTCAATGTATTTGACATTTTTCTGTCGTGTAGTTACCAACTTACTATAGTAATTATAATGAGTTATATGCAGAAGAAATGTGTTAGATATAAATTCTTATTACAGAAAAATCATCTCTGCCATGGGGATCTGTTTTTCAGACATTTTAGTTATCAGGGAGCTTATCCATTGTCCTACAGGTTATGATATTATTAATGATCTTTCCAACATAACTGTTATTGGGGATAATTTCAAAATGTTAGAAATCTCTAAAGGGCCCATAATTGCTGAAAAATACAGTTTTGTAACAAAAAAAATGTCTCATCTCTTTCTATATTGGAATGTAATCCTTTCCAAAACAGTGGTATTTTTAGGTGAACTAGGGGCCTTATAAAAGCCCCTTATCCTTGATATTTTCTGCTGTAATTTCCCAATGTCCTAAGGCACAGACCCCTGTTGAAAAGAGGGAGAAAATCACTGCAAAAGACGCAAGTAACTTTCAATGTTTTAAAGCAAATAAATATTTTCGGTTTTTATCTACATTTTACAACTTTTTTTTGCAGGGATGAAAACCTCTCCAAAAGATGCCTATCAAACAACGCCAAAGAAGCGCACACGTATGTTTTATCAATTTTTATATAACAACAATTCTAGGCAGCAAACCGAAGCCAAGGACGACCTTCACTGTCCGTGGTGTTCGCTCAACTGTATGCAGCTGTACAACCTCTTCAAACATCTACGCCTCTGTCACGCACGGTTTAACTTTATATATGTGGTAAGCTTCATGGCAAAACAACACTGTACACTTGGTTGGTTCCTTATAGTTATTGATCTTGATCAATAGTGTAATAATGGCCTTTCTGCCAGTTCCAGAATTAATCTAGCGAGGAGCTCTTTTTTTCCAGAGGCTCTGCACATGACGCCTCATGTGAAATCAATTTTGTATGTGTATGCATATAGTTATTTTCACAGCAATTTCATTTCATTTCTTTAGCAGTAAAACAAATTCACTAATTCTACATAGCAGTAGAATTTTTTTTTGTCGAAAAACTGAACTGTCTCAAAACCACAAATTCAGCACTACATATTATTAGTCTTGTCACACGTAAGTGTGAAATAATACTGTGTCAAATCAAGTTGTTCATTGTGATTTGAAGTTAACTCAGCTAAGCTGCACATCATTATCGGGGCCCTGAATCAGAGATGCTGGTGCCCTATAGTAATCATGGTGTCCGTCTGTCCAACCATCCAACGTTTCGTATCCAGAGATAGTCTCAGAATCCAAAGGACGAATCTTTTTGAAATTTGACATGGTGATACACTGTGTTATGTAGACGTACAATACGGGTTTTTAGAGTCAAGTCAAGGTCACTGTTACTAAAAATAGACCATGGGGATATGGTTGGGCAAATGGCAGGGCCCTTGCTGATCTGTCCGTGTTTAGTTTTACATTATTTGTTTTGATTCATCTATAATCTTGAAATGTCTAAAAATGAAAAGGTTGTAAGAATATAATTTTCATCACAATCTCATTTGTAAAATTCTTTGGTAGACACAATGCCCCCTGTGTTGGAATCAATAGAACTAATTGTCCTGTTTTTACAGCCTCATCCAAAAGGTGCTATGGTGGATGTGTCGATTAACGAGCGCTACGATGGAGCGTACGCTGGCAGTCCTCAGGATCTACATAGTCACATAGGTTACGCCTTTAGTCGGAACGGACCTGTACGACGTACGCCAGTCACACACGTCATTGTTTACAGGTATGTCACTATGTAGATCTGTTGTTTGTTATATGAACACTCTGTTAATATAGGGATGGAACAAAAATAGGTAGTTCTCCTCGGAGATGAGAAATATTGGTCCTTTAAGAACTATTATCTCTTTATAAATGGATTTTCCCAGATTTCTTTGTATCTGTATCCCATTTTCCAATTTCGCCAATAAGAGTTCCCAGTATGGAAGGAACATGCTATTCTGGCTCAATGCTGATCCAGGAGTTGAAATGGAGCAAAAAAAGATACTTAAACAACCCTGTTAAAAGTATTTAAAATTAAAATTGAAAAAAAAATGAAATTAAAGTCTGTGATAAAACTCATCATTCCTCTTCAGTACTTCTGCTTGATTCATTTTGATGAGTATTCAATTTAACATAGTAAGTAACAAGTTTTTTTAAAATTTATTTGACATTCTGTTTCAGACCAAATCGACCAGAGGAAAGTTTGACGGAATTCATGGACCACGAAAATGACATTCATCAAACGAATAGGCAGCTTGTTCAGGGACACAATAGGTAATGATGGCACATAATGTGTATAGGGATAGAACACAGTAGGTAATGATGGCACATAATGTTTATAGGGATAGAACACAATAGGTAATGATGGCACATGATGTTTATAGGGATAGAACACAATAGGTACTGGTATATAGAGATGGAATATCACCCTTAGCATTTCAAAGTTAATTCAACTTCTTGTGCAGTCTTAAAAAAAAAAAAATTGAAAAGAATAATAATATTTGGTAATATTTTGGTTTCAGCCACTTTGTTTTGAATTTAATCAGCTTATATTATGTAATAATTATTTTCAGATTATACTATCAAACTGGGACACGCCTACCTATCACACCACAGGAGATCAATGTAGAAACTGAGGAGGAAAGTGATCCGTTGTGGCTCCGACAAAAAACAGTCCAGGTTAGTACAGTATGAGTATTTTAAAATTCATCAAAATGAAGCTTATAGTAGAAGAGATCTTGACAAGAAAAAAAATGGGGTTTTCATCAATGATAAAAAAAAAATGAAATGCATACAAACTTTCATAGTTTTAGTTTTAAAAGTTAGCATCATTAAATGTCATATTTTCTATTTTTATGTTTTCACTTTGTTTTTAGCTCACCTGGCCTAAAGGGCCAAGTGAGCTTATGCCATGGTGCAGCGTCAGGCGTCAATATTTTAATTTATACAACGTCTTCTCAATAACCAAAAGGCCTAGGATGATGATATTTGGCCAGAAGCAAACTGGGATGAAGGGCTACCAAGTTTGTTCAAATAAATGACCTTCACCTATCTTCAAGGTCACAGGGATGAAATAAATATGTTAAAAACTTTTAAACAACTTCTTCTGAATAACCAAAAGTTGCAGGATGATGATATTTGGCCAGAAGCAAACTGGGATGAAGGGCTACCAAGTTGGTTGAAATGAATGACCTTCATCCATTTTCAAGGTCACAGGGGTCAATTGTCTTNGAAATGCCCAGTCTGACCACGTGTGAAGTGACAGCGTTTTAATGTAAACAGATCGATCAAGTAATGGCGGGTCATGTTATCGTTCAACATAATTTATGAAAGAACATAGTATTATAATCTGTCAGCATCACATTAATAATGTTCTTACCGATAAACGAGGCGGAAAATTGGCCTAAACCATGCCTCGCCATCCATCTTCCCACATCTTCCGGGCTCCAACCACGCGAATGGGCAGCCATTTTTGTGAAGAGTGATAACAGCGCCCTCTATCAAGATTGATTTTTTTTATCATAGGAGTTGCGTCCCTTGACCCACATACCGGAAGCGACTTGCAAGCGATACAGTAATGTCACGCTGCCAAAGTTTCAGCACGTATTTCAATAACGCAAATCTACATCCGAGCTTCAACCAGATATTTTCATATCACACCACCATGTAAATTAATTAATCAGGTTTTACTTATTTTTTAAACATTTTTTTTTATTTCTCCAACGTACAACGACCCACAGAAACAAAAATACAACAACAACAACAACCAATAACTACGATTTTATTCAATTTTCAACCACCCACGTTAACAAAAAAAGTTTGCCGTCCCAGGGGGGGATGTCTTTTTTTCTGGAACAGCCCTAACTAAGAGACCTAGGATATTGATATTTGGCCTGTTATATGGTAGGATGAAGGGCTACTAAGCTTGTTCAAATGAATGACCTTTATATATATTCAAGGTCACAGGGGTCAAATATGTTAAAAACCTTTAAACAACTTCTTCTCAATAACCGAAAAACCTAGGATTATGCTATTTGGCCAGTAGCATGTTGTGTTGAAAGGCTACCAAGTTTGTTCAAATGAATGACCTTGACCCACTTTGAAGGTCACTGGGGTCAGATGTCTTAAAATCTTCAAACGACTTCTTCTCAATAACCAAAAGGCCAAGGGTACTGATATTGGGCCTGTAGCATGCTGGGATGAAGGGCTACCAAGTTTGTTCAAATGAATGAGCTTGACCCACTTTCAACCTAATGTCCTTGTTCAACATTCAAGGACACAGGCATCATGTGTAAATCTTTTAATAGATTCTTATGAATTAAACACTGATATTCTGCCTGTAGATGTATTTTAGTCCACTTTTTAAGATTACAAGTGTGAGATTCATACCAGGTGAGCGATGCAGGCCCATCGGGCCTCTAGTTTAACATATTTCAGCATTTCTCATGAAGTAAATTTTCATTCATAAACATGATAATCATAGAAATCAAATTTAAAGGGCAAAGTTAACACTGGGTGAAAGTGTCCCTGTATTCAGTACTCCAAATGTTTTGTAGGAGCTTTTAGTAAGTACTGAGATATTCAATTCCATTTTCGATATTAAATCCGAATTTTTATTTTTTTTTTTAAATCCAAGAAGTTAAAATATTCAGTTTAACAAGGTTACACTACACTAGTATTACATTGTACATCTATTAAAACTTACTTAATATATAATCCATTAATCTTTTTTTGTAGATGATAGATGAGTTCACAGATGTCAATGAAGGTGAAAAAGAACTGATGAAACTTTGGAATCTGCATATAATGAAACACGAGTAAGTATTTAGACATTTTTAGTCACCCCTGGGGCAACCCAAGTGGGGACTATTAATTTCAGTTTCAGTCCCAGATTTTGACCTCTGTTGTCTTGGGCTGTTCAGTGTATTGCTTCTGTGGGAATATACCAGGCGCTAATTACTAGCTCTTGGATAACTCGGATATCGATTTCCTTTTTTTAACAGGAATAGCATAAAAGCTAAAGGCGTTCAAAATTTCCGACGGGAATTACATATTACCTAAAGATGTTCCGAGTATGAATCAGGCACCTTTGAGGTTCCCGAAGGGATAAACTGTCGTATTATAAATTGCTATTGACTGATTTAGATATTTTATGTCCGACCAACGACTACCGTTGATATTTACGTATAGGGCACACTTTTTTAAGGAAAGTGTCAAGAAAGGGGTGTACAAGATACTCAATAACAATCCAAAACCAGTCAGTCCTTGGTCGCGACTATTTCTCGTAAATTTTTCGAGGATTTTCGGAAATGTCTTGAAAAATGCTCACAGCAATAAAACTGCTAAATTTCGTTGAATAATCCCTGATTGCATTGCCAATTTAACAATTACGAAAAGTTCCAAGTTTAAGTTATATTATACGATAGAATCGGATAAATAAGCTCGAGTAAAGTAGGCTCAACTTTTCAGGACGTTACATTGTGAATTGATAAATACCGCGTATCGGGGAAACAAAACGATGAATTGCATCGCATTTATTACTCTGTGGTTAAAATGTCGTTCTTGGGTAAAATCTTGCTGAACTCTTCAATCTTGACCGTAGGAATGTGTCAAAACGACATGGGTAAAGTGGCGAAGTTAGCAAGTTTGTGTACCCTAAAGAGTCAAGCTCGTGTGATACTATTAACCGGCAGGAATTTACAAGGTGACATCCATCCGAATTGAACCGATAATGATAAAAGATTGAGTTTGAAAATAAATATTAACGGGTTCAAAACAGCCAAATACATTACAATCTTTTTGCTGAAATCACAATTGTTTGGTGTTCTTCATGTCTCGCGAATTTGGCTGTTGGCGATCCTCGTCGGAGTGAGTGCTTTTAAGCGTACACATTCTGATGATATCGATTACCGATTCAGTCGGATTTGCAGATGATCAGAAAACTACTTGAAAAAGTGTAATTCATAACACAAAAAAAGTAAAAGATTGAATCTTTTCTGAAACTTATTGTTGTGAAAACAACATCGTTATATTCCAATAACACGTTCTGCCCATGCCAGGTGACCGTGTTGGCGCGCAGATCTCCCCGTATTCGAGGTGTCAATCAACGCTTACGTTATATTTGCGACATGCTTTTTTATTAATTCCATGTGTTGGCATGGCGTCCTGAACAGCATGTATGTATTTACACCTGGTCATTGTTTACCATTTTGATTGACAGGTGGAAATATCTCCGTTGTAGCTTGGTCAATGATATATCGGAAAATGATCATACAGAATGATGGGGTGGCTTTCATGTCATCCTGACATATTTCTAGTTGGGTTTTGATTTTGTATTGTTAACATTCTTACCTTTGAAAACTAATGACGTAAAATAATAATCTTCAAACTTTCATTTCCTATGTAAAATAATTATGCTACACACCAAAAAAATATTAAACTCGCTGAACAAGAATTGGTTTGTAAGCTTTTGTGTGGTATATACATGGAGCATGTTATACCGAACACAGCTTTTAGTTGACACTTGACCCCTTGGTAATTTCAGAAGTAAGGTCACCTTAATGACAATAATGAGGATTTATCAGTCAGGAGGGATATTATGTCTAATGATGTCTTGTCTTTGGTTTATTGTAGCTACATCGCTGACTGTCAGATACCCCAGGCCTGTGACACATTCATTGAGGAACATGGACAGGATATCGTGACCAGGTTTTTGTGCAGAAACCTCCTCCTACATGTGATAAACCTGTTTGACTTCAGTCTAATCCGACCCGAAAATGTGCAGCGGACTGTGGCAGCATTAGAGATTATCCGAGATGAAATGGCGTGTGAATAAGACATTTCGCAATCACGTAACATCTTATCTTCAAAACAGATTTATTATGTGAAACTTTTAAAAAAAACACATTGGATAGTAGTATAGATGAGAGATAATATCACTGTATCTCTAAAGGTTTATATGTGGTAAGATTTTATTTCCAGGTTAATGTATTCCAACTTCTGGAAGTTTGTCTTGTTAGTTTGATATACAGATCGATTTCTTTCCATGTAACATATTTCGACCTCTTAGTAAGTTGCCATCAGTTACTTACGACAACTCTGACAGGTATGAATTCTTCTTTGTTCAACGAACAAGTCATGTGATGTTGTTCCTTGTCCATGCTACTGTCCATTTCGCCCCCATTCTGGCAGAGGACTGATACAAAATGCCTGTCATCTGGTGTTTTGCAGGCACATCGTACATGGCTATTTGATATTTGTACTGTATCTGTTGTATCAGTTTGGATATTTGTGCATATTTGTAACAAATATCCATCGAGGTCTTCGCGACAAAAGAATTGGGTATCAATGTGAAACTGCTCCAATCTGGGTGCAAAGCATGGATTCACGGAGGTGTAACATGTCCGTAGAGTTGTCCGTTAGGTTCAGATCTGCGGTAGAAGTAAAAAAAACACCATGATGATTCCTTCACGGCCAGACCCTTGTAACACCCTGTTAGGTTTGTTGATACATCTGAATGAAATTTGAATGGTGTTAGCAATTTCGATGTATATAATTGTTTATGTGGAGGGTGAATGAGAGACGGTATGTACGGGTGAATGAGAGACGGTATGTATGGGTGAATGAGAGACGGTATGTATGGGTGATTGTTCGTATGCATATGCGTGGTATTTTGAGCTGGAAAAGACGAAACCTCGACAAGATGAAAAGGCGTCGCTGAGAAGAAGACTCAGCTGGTACATGTGATGTACATTATTTAGTCTTAAAATGTTATTTATAATTTAATTATTATGAACAAAATTTTACCTAGTGAAACCTTTTGACTAAAAAATCAAATGGATAACTTCGGCGGATTTGTCGGTCTCTTCACCTTTTAAACAATGCATGATGTGTGCCGCGTGTTTGGAGGGTGATTATTATTAAACTTCTATGCATGAACATGTAACATCAGGGACTAGATTACTAAGGAGCAGCTAACCATTCAGATGTGGAACTTAACATCTTTGTTCAAATTTTTAAGTTTTAACCGTGTTATTTTAGTCACCCGTACGCAAGTGATCAGTGTTCATAGGTCTTGTGAAAATTTAGTTTTGTCTTGTTGTTCACATTGCCATGTATACTGGGTTGTCTCCCCTCCCAAAACTCATCGTCCCAGTTTTCATCATTGCATCATTTTATCTGGGATATATTGTAGTAGTGAAAATCAGTTCTATGGGTCATCTTTCTGTGTCACAAATTCTGCAGAAAGAGGATGAAATTGAAGTCTTATTGAAAACTGACACGAACTTGATATCTTAAGGCCAGACAAAAAATAATAATGTTTGGATATAATGCGTTTCATAAATATGCCAGAAATATTTCAAAGATAAAAGTACCGTTGACTTTCCCTGTGATACTATTACCCAAGAGAGTACTATACCTGATTCTAGTGATGTATTTCGGTGTCTGCGTTAACCCATTCACCCCCGAAGACACATTTGAACCCTTCCATTTCAAAGGTTGGCATAGTTCATTATGAAATTTCAGGGGTGAATGAGTTAATCAGAGGGACTCTCCCCGTAAATGAATCATTGCCGATTCACTCGGCAGCACTAGTCACGCTGATCCCTCTTATCTTGCCAAATAAAAATATCTCCATTCCTTTAATAAACTTTGAAAAGACATGCATTGTTAGTATTTTAAAGAAAGAAAAAAACCTTCTGAAAATTTTTAGAAGATCAATACTATGGAAATAAACCATTTGATCTGTTTGAAAAATGTATACCCAAAATTTTGATAATAAGCCACTGCTTATATTATCTTTTATAAGGAATCTCAAGTCTAGTTTTTGAAGGTGGCTTATTTTTTTGGACTGTCTCATTTTCAAAGTATTTAACATTGAGCTGTGTATGGCTTACTTTCAAGGCGAGGATAATTTTAAAGCCTTTTAGATGGTATCAACTTTATCATATCAAGATATTTGGGTATTTTGAATTTTTCAACAACAACAAAATGTCAACTTTAATATTTGGCTTCTTTTTCATGTTGCATTTATACAGTATTATTGTCAGCACTGAAAAGGAAAAATAAACCAAAATACTGTGCGATGTATGGAAACAAAAAAAAATGTCATCATTTGGCCTTAAAGTACATTGTATATATATTCATGTGTATATATCCATTCCATTTCTGTAATACTATACATATATTGTAAAAAATATGTACTCATGTCTGTGTTAAGTGTTCTTGAGTTATTGTTGGATTACGTTTCAAACATTACCAAAACAAAGCTGGATGTTTACGGTTACCTTGTAGATATTTAACACAAATTCTCCTTTTTCCGATAATGCTTCGACGAATTGTTGTTCCATCAACGATTCCGATCAATTCTTGGCATGTCGAATGATCAAGTAAATGTATTTTAATATCCATCTCATTGTGCATAGTCCATTTCCCTGTATATATGTACAGTGTATAGCCCAGTGTATGCATGTTGTTTGATAGCCAAAATACTGTTCATCGGGGGTTTTTTTCTTCTTTTTTTCGTATTGTATTATATTCCTTAATTTAAATGTAAGATAGTATTATTTGATTAAACTTGAGGCAGTTTTTAGATGGTGTCTTGTCCTAAGACAGACATGTGTATGCATGTGTTTGTGTATGTGTGGTAACAAGGTCTAGGTGCTCTGATGGGTCATGAGAGGCCTTGAAAATTGTACGTTAAGGATCCGGTAACGGCTGCCAAAACTGTAGCTACGCATTGAAACTGCTTTTTCAGGCATGATTATAGCTTTGATCAATCATTTCTGGAAATAAAAACATGTCTTGTGAGACTTTTAAGAAAGAAAAATAAAGATGAAATAAACAAAATATAATCAACAATAGTGTTCCGAGTGTAAAAATTCAGTGCAGTCAGACCATGGCCGTTTTCGTTTAAATGGTTGAACCGGTCGGACCACAGTTGTTTGTTTATTAAATAAGGTCGGACCTAGTAATCTAATGCTGCTTTCAGGCGAGCCTTGACAACGCCTTGCAAGGCCTACATAAACATTGCAGGTCCGCCAACATTTATATTCGAAATTTGTTACATTTACAAACAGACAAACCGGTTATTCCGCATAAACGAACAGGCCCAAGGATTTTAACCATGGACAACAGGAAGTAATTTATCGGCTACCAAGGGCGTTACTGGGTGCAAGTAGTGTTGAGTGTAATTTCAGTGTGCATGCCTTGGGGACAGGTTATTTTTACACCCAATAACTAGGGTGTTGTGAATAGCCCCAGAAGATGGTACACAAACTGTACCAAAGAATGACCACAATGGAAATCAGAAGGCAATGGTTTTGATAGGGCAAGTAATATGGGTGTCTCCCCTGGACATTTCAACCACATAAGCTATAATGCCTCTGATTGCTTAATGTACCCAGTGCGAGTCGATGTACCCAGTGCGTGTCTGTGTACTCAAAATATCGCCAGTATGAATCAAAGTACCCAGTGCGAGTCTGTCCCTGTGCGAGTCAATTTACCCAGTGCGAGTCAAGTACCCAGTGCGAGTCAATGTACTCTGTGCGGGGAAAATATCACCAGAACTATAATGAAAGGGCTTAGTGCCAAGTTTTAACATGAGCTTAAAATGAATTCCAATTGACAGTATTTTTAATACACGGTTACTGATCTGATAGGAATGTGTTTGAATCCAGTATAAATTCTCATGTTTTGATAACAAGATCATTCTGAGGAACAACACAGCTACCCTGTTATAACCTGATCAATAGTCGGGGGAAAAAACTTATGGATGAGGTACAGTAAATGTAGTCTGAATTTGTCTGGTTGTAACAGCATTCCCAGAAAGAGGATATTCAGTTCAAAAAAATATATTTTGTGACACTACATATATTAAAGTTTTATACACGAGATAATATAAGTGTAACATCCTACCTCACAAAGCTGATCATTGGTGCTGTATAATCAGTCAGGTTCCTAAAAGTGGCTGCAATGTTCTACTCATTACAAACATACAGCTGACACTGCTCAAGATGTGTTTGATGTAGCTGTGTGAGGTAAATGTTTTGATCCCTGAAGTAATTCGTAGTGTCACTTGCATCGCTAGAGAAGAGTGTAAGAAGTGAAAGTGCATCAATATTTTATTTTAAAAAATGTCCCCTACACGGTATGTTGTATATTTGGCTGAAAATTAGAATTTTATCATGAGTTCATCTGTCAAGCGTCTGTATCGTTAAGATTCCTTCGAAAGAAATTAAAACAAGTCGGTTTAAATAAATGGTGGTATTCTACAGGAAAATGGTGTTACCATTATTGATAGAATGTGTCGGTTTATTCTACCGTAACCGAGGGTTGTTGGTTCAATCATCAGTCTGAAAACTTCTTATCTTCAAGTATGCTGTTCAAGGAATGTTGGAATTCCGTATCTCTCCAAATTATAGTACATGGTGTGTGTATTTTAGAATGCTCAGCTAGAAGGTATTACCGGCTTATATATAGCCCTTTAAATAATTGAGGAAATACAATGTCGACGTGCTTTGATGTTGCACCAAAATATAATTGCACTAATTAGAGTGTCTGTTTCATGTTTTCTGTTGCATATTATTAAAAGCTGATATATAAATACCTTCATCTGTTAAAATGTTATTATGCTTTATTGATTAAAATTCCTTTAGAGCTAAAATTAAGTATGTTAACTATTGGACTTTGTGAAAAATTCTGATAAAGAAAGCATGTCATTCACAGATTATGACTTAATTTGAATGATCACCCCTACATTTCCTATTTAAATCAAGGTAATATACACTTTGTAAATGATTCTAAAGGGAAGGCATGTGTTCGTTAACAAAGGATCACAGTGTCTGATGAAACACTCGCTAATTGTCAAAGGTGATAATTTGATTGTGTTGGTGAAATGTCGTTCGACACCTAGATGCAATTTCTTGGATAAAGATCGTATTATTAAGAATACGATCTCCTGTTCCAGTAAAAACTCTTGGACAAATCTTGACGGTGAATTTTCGTGAATTTTCGTTGTTTAGAATACCCTATGTATCCAGATGGCAAGTCTCGTCTTGAACTGAAGTAGTTTTTTTGTACGTTTTGTCAACTTAATGTGTTACGATGACCTAAATTACGATTTTTGACTGTACTCTTTAGAAATGATAAGCCTTACTGGTGTTTTTTAGGTTAGACTTGGTCTGTTACTGTAAGCCTTACTGGTGTTTTGTAGGTTAGACTCGGTCTGTTACTGTAAGCCTTACTGGTGTTTTGTAGGTTAGACTCGGTCTGTTACTGTGTTGTGGTGAGCTGTCATTGTGATATCAATTGTGCCTTGTTAGTTTTTAGTTTCCAAAATCAATACAGCTACTTGTGTCAGAAGCACAAACAATTTCTGTTCAATTCGTACAGTGCATAACTCGATATGGACACTCCGGGGTCGGATTAGTCGGTTTCGTTGTTATTCCTGTTTTTCCTGTGGCAAGGGCAAACTTTATTCTGGCCTACCAGTCGTGCTGGTTGCTGGTTTTGTGTTTGCAACTGGTATGTTCAAGCGAGGCAGTACAAATGCTGACGTCTTTTACCTGCGTAGAAGAGTTATTAAATGTAGATGAAGATTCAATTCATTAGTCACCATCTTGTGTGCCACTCTGCCCGTCTCTCCAATCTGGTAAAACTTCTTGCCAAACGGCAGGTGCTGTAATTGTGCTCATATTTACAGGACACGATCAAGCAGTGGTGCTGCCTTGCCACCGGCAACCCCGGCAAGCAACAAGAATCAAATTTTTCCCGATATGAACACCATGCATCTCTTCACATTCTAACATATGCGTTTTTGCTGCATAGAAGTTCATTAAATCATGTTCATAACAATAGCAGGGGACCAAACAAATCGTCGAGCTGCTCAGTGGAATATATTCACTCTTCGCAAGTAAAATCGATATTCACCAAGCACCATTTTCACCCTTAAGTGGGAATACAAGGATAGCTGTAACAAGCTGCTTACCTGCATTCTGTCCCTCATATGAATTAGCTGTCGGTGTCGTCGTTATAATATCTTCATTACTTGGTGCAAAGTCAACCGCACAAAGATTTCTAAGTATATATCATGTTGGTGAAAGACTTTGTTCAAGGTAATACGGTAGGTATCGTGTATACTTTGATTAAATTTTTAGGTTAAGGAGCAACTGAGCTTTTATTTTTGGAATTGGTGGTTAACAGTTTGTGAACATTGTGTGTTTGTGTTGGCACATCAATCAATATCCATGTGCACGTGGCAGACAGTTGAGACGTTGCATCATCAAAATTAGTGTATCATGTGACCCACTGTAGTTGTGATGTCATACAAATCTGTGTAATATGTTTATTTTGTGAGATGGTAAATGGTATACATTTATATGTTTTGATAATTCTTTTAAAAGTATGGTGTATGTTATAAACCTGTTCATGATGATGAACTCTAGTTTCTTGCAATATTTTATACATTGTGTATATTATAAATATAGGGGAACATGTATTAACATCATTTATCATGGTATCCCGAGATTTCCTTTCACATCCAAAGTCACGTTTTTTTTATAAAAGAAAAATTAATGTTCAGTAAAAAACAACAAATTGATCATTATACTCATTGTATGGTAGTGTCGGCGTAGAGTAAATGAACGCAATACTACACATTGTCATGGCAACTGGCAAAAAATGTCTCTAAGGAAATGTTTATATATAAGAATTTGCTTGTGATCAAGTTATTGTTCCACCCAAACTAGAACAATATGATGTTGTCATTTTGGACAAAGCTGTGTACATGTTGGTGATGTAATTGTTATGATCACATAATGAGTTGGATGTAATTGTTCCTGTGTGGTTTGTATTTCAGTCCAATTTGTATGCTTGTTTCCTCAATTCAACAAAATAAAAACATTTTAAAGACACTTAATTTGTCTGTTCTTGTGCAAATATACAAGTCTTTTGAAGGTTAATAGTTTGTGCATTTCACGCATGCATGTTTTATTATTCGAATAAGAATTGAACTTCTGTACCCCACTTCATGATTGTATAAGTCGACTACTATTGAGGCCTCCAAGCAGAATAAGAGGTTTTGTTGTGGGGACACAGACGATACCAACATTGATCTGGTGCCTCTATTGCAACACTTCAGACCTTTGAGATCTTTTTTGTCTTGCCTTCTGTCAATCACTTTATTTTTGCATTGATTCACACAAGGAGATGCATTCCTGTATTTAAATATACACATTTTTTTTCGGTAGATTGTCACAATCAATAATAATAATCAATCTTGAATTCAAGCATTCACAAATAAAACAGACTGCAGTTTGCAAAAGAGTGATCATGCAAACGAAGTGATTTACAATACCCATTGCCCATTACATGTATTATGGTAATCCATTAAGTGAGGTGGCGTAGTGCGAAGTCCAGTTATGAAATTTCAGTGAGATGTGCGGCACTTAGGCCCCATCCTCTGTTGACAATATTGTCATTTAATTAACACTGGCTGTTAACCTAGCCAACTATTGTGCACTGAACCACTTTCTAAGTAAGATGTGTTTATTGTGATGATGCTTGGTTACAAATTATTGTTTATTATAAATATTTGTACTACTAAGGAACATTCTCATGTGTCAACAAAGTGTTTGACCCGGAAGACACCTATGACCCTAGACCACCAACCTTAGGTATACTTAGTTGGATGTCGAATGTAACCGGAAAGGAAAACTACATCGGCCAGACAGATTTACAATCTGGGACCTCGGAACTCTAGGCAGACAGTCTTGCCAATTGAACAACCCAGTCTAGTATTCTAGATTAATCTCCATCAGATCTTATTCCTGTTATGCCCTGTGTGACCACAGAATGATGGTCAGTGTCTCTATAAGTCATTGTTCCTACAAACAGGCAAATCACAGGGATGCTAGACGCTGCAGCAAATAGAAAACGGTCTAGATCTATGGACAACAAAACTTTAGATCTCTGCAGGTTATTTCCAAACAAGCAGTAGTGTTTCCGGTAAAAGTTAACAGCACCAGAAAACCTCTGATGATGACAATGACTCCAGCACTCATTTCTCGACACCTGTTGCCTCCTTCATCAGAGCAGATAATGTTTGCTATTTTGCAGAGACTGTCACTCCGATCTTGGCAATATCCTCTAGATACTGATCTTGATGCTTGGACTGTCACTCAGATCTTGGCAATATCCTCTAGATCCTGATCTTGATGTTTGGACTGTCACTCAGGCCTTGGCAATATCCTCTAGATCCTGACCTTGATGTTTGGACTGTCACTCAGCCCTTGTCAATATCCTCTAGATCCTGATCTTGATGCTTGGACTGTCACCCAGATCTTGGCAATATCCTCTAGATCCTGATCTTGTTGTTTGAACTGTCACTTAGATCTTCGCAATATCCTCTAGATCCTGATCTTGATGTTTGGACTGTCACTCAGCCCTTGGCAATATCCTCTAGATCCTGATCTTGATGTTTGGAACGTCACGCAGATCTTGGCAATATCCTCTAGATCCTGATCTTGATGTTTGAACTGTCACTTAGATCTTGGTAATATCTTCTAGATCCTGATCTTGATGTTTGGACTGTCACTCAGCTCTTGGCAATGTCCTCTAGATCCTGATCTTGATGTTTGGACTGTCACTCAGATCTTGGCAATATCCTCTAGATCCTGATCTTGATGTTTGGACCGTCACGCAGATCTTGGCAATATCCTCTAGATCCTGATCTTGATGTTTGGACTGTCACTCAGATTTTGGCAATATACTCTAGATCCTGATCTTGATGTTTGAACTGTCACTTAGATCTTGGTAATATCTTCTAGAACCTGATCTTGATGTTTGGACTGTAACTCAGATCTTGGCAATATCCTCTAGATCCTGAACTTGATGTTTGGACCGTCACGCAGATCTTGGCAATATCCTATAGATCCTGATCTTGATGTTTGGAGTGTCACTCAGATCTTGGCAATATCATCTAGATCCTGATCTTTATGTTTGGACTGTCACTCAGATCTGGGCAATATCCTCTAGATCCTGATCCTTATGTTTGGACTGTCACTCAGATCTTGGCAATATCCTCTAGATCCTGATCTTTCTCCCAATGGATAAGACCAAGGGGTTGGTACGATCATTCGTTTGGTATGACAGATTGAAATTTCCAAATTTCCTACAAGAGAACGGTGTCATGGAATCAAATTAATATGTAAGTTGGAAAAAATTGTTTCTTTTTTTCTTTGTGAAATAAATAAAGTTGTATTTGTTTATTATCAAATTCAGTGACAAAACATTGATATAAGTATTTTTCAACAAGCTTTTATGTAAATTCCTTGAAAACACTTGAAGAAAAAATTTCATTATCAAATGCGCCTAATAAGTTAGTTTCATCTAAATCTATAGTAACATTATTTTCCATTGCCATAATAATGAGGATTTGTATGAATTTGGTATCAAACACTGTTTGAAGTGTATTATTGTATACTGCACACTGTTGCCAGACCATAAATAATATAAAATATTTTGTCGCAACCCTGAATTTGTAAAGACCAATAACTCAATTAATTCATCGTATACTAATTGTATCGTTTCTTAAAAATTGGGCACACTTTTTAGCAGTATTTTACTATTTGAGAAAAAGAGTTTCAGTTGTTTTACAGTATTATAGAAAACTGAACTGTCCAGAAAATCTACAGATGAAGTAAACATTTTTAAGGTATAAAAAAATCCCCTGAATGAGACATGAGATTGGCTTCTAATGTTCTACTGTTTCTATGCCTTTCAGCAAATTTTCAGTAAATGCATAAAAACGAGAAAAACAAGAAAATAAAATATAAAATCCACCAAATATGTAAATCCCTCTTTAACTTAAATGCCACTGAGGCTAAATTCTTCTCCAGCATATTTATCTGAAGCGTACTCCTAAAGGATATTGTGAATTACCAGTTCCTTGGTCCTGTTGTAGTTGAGGTACATGGGCAGGTCTTCATCAACTTGGGAGTACAGGAGTTGTCTCCCATCACAGCCATTCTGCTGAAGCTTAAACAGGCCCTCAAAGAAGTGGGTGTAAGCTGGACAGGCTATGTCCAGGTCGGCCAGGGTGAATACCAGTCTGGGAACAGAGGCAGAGACAGGTGTAACACCAGTCTGGGAACAGAGGCAGAGACAGGTATAACACCAGTCTGGGAACAGAGGCAGAGACAGGTGTGTAACACCAGTCTGGGAACAGAGGAAGAGACAGGTGTAACACCAGTCTGGGGACAGAGGAAGAGACATGTGTAACACCAGTCTGGTGACAGAGGAAGAGACGGGTGTAACCCCAGTCTGGTGACAGAGGAAGAGACAGGTGTAACCCCAGTCTGGGAACAGAGGAAGAGACAGGTGTAACACCCGTCTGGTGACAGAGGAAGAGACGGGTATTACACCAGTCTGGTGACAGAGGAAGAGACAGGTGTAAAACCAGTCTGGGAACAGAGGAAGAGACAGGTGTAACCAGTCTGGGAACAGAGGAAGAGACGGGTGTAACACCAGACTGGGGACAGAGGAAGAGACATGTGTAACACCAGTCTGGGAACAGAGTAAGAGACCGGTGTAACACCAGTCTGGTGACAGAGGAAGAGACGGGTGTAACACCAGTCTGGTGACAGGCAGAGACGGGTATAACCCCAGTCGGGGAACAAAGGCAGAGACAGGTGTAATTCCAGTCTGGGAACAGAGGCAGAGACAGGTGTAACACCAGTCTGGTGACAGGCAGAGACGGGTATAACCCCAGTCGGGGAACAAAGGCAGAGACAGGTGTAATTCCAGTCTGGGAACAGAGGCAGAGACAGGTGTAACACTAGTCTGGGAACAGAGGCAGAGACAGGTATAACACCAGTCTGGGAGCAGAGGCAGAGACAGGTGTGTAACACCAGTCTGGGGACAGAGGAAGAGACATGTGTAACACCAGTCTGGTGACAGAGGAAGAGACGGGTATAACACCAGTCTGGTGACAGAGGAAGAGACAGGTGTAACCCCAGTCTGGGAACAGAGGAAGAGACAGGTGTAACACCAGTCTGGTGACAGAGGCAGAGATAGGTGTAACACCAGTCTGTTGACAGAGGAAGAGACAGGTGTAACACCAGTCTGGAGACAGAGGAAGAGACGGGTATTACACCAGTCTGGTGACAGAGGAAGAGACAGGTGTAACCCCAGTCTGGGAACAGAGGAAGAGACAGGTGTAACACCAGCCTGGGAACAGAGGAAGAGACAGGAGTAACACCAGTCTGGGAACAGAGGAAGAGACATGTGTAACACCAGTCTGGTGACAGAGGAAGAGGCAGGTGTAACACCAGTCTGGGGACAGAGGAAGAGACGGGTGTAACACCAGTCTGGGAACAGAGGCAGAGACAGGTATAACACCAGGCTGGGAACAGAGGCAGAGACAGGTGTGTAACACCAGTCTGGGGACAGAGGAAGAGACGGGGGTAACACCAGTCTGGGAACAGAGGAAGAGACATGTGTAACACCAGTCTGGTGACAGAGGAAGAGACGGGTGTAACCCCAGTCTGGTGACAGAGGAAGAGACAGGTGTAACCCCAGTCTGGTGACAGAGGCAGAGATAGGTGTAACACCAGTCTGGTGACAGAGGAAGAGACGGGTGTAACACCAGTCTGGTGACAGGCAGAGACGGGTATAACACCAGTCGGGGAACAAAGGCAGAGACAGGTGTAATTCCAGTCTGGGAACAGAGGCAGAGACAGGTGTAACACTAGTCTGGGAACAGAGGCAGAGACAGGTATAACACCAGGCTGGGAACAGAGGAAGAGACAGGTGTAACACCAGTCTGGGAACAGAGGAAAAGACGGTGTATGTTATACAGGAGTAGTACAGATGTACATGAACAGGTAAACTTTGCATGTACAAAATATGTATTTAATGTACAGTAAAAAAACGTTACACTATTTTTCTGGTGAAATTTTAGTACCGAAAGGGACTGGGGTTTGGCAACTCATCCTGGCAGAGGTATAAAGAACTTGTGAAGAATGGAGGAAAGAAGAGGGCACCTTGAAATATGTTTGTGTTATGTGAAGTGACAAATGAAATGAAGGGCATCACATCAAGGTTTTATTCAACTTCATATGAAAAGAGCTATAAAAATATAATATATAATAACAGTATTGTACTAGTATTTCCCCATTTTTGTGAGATCACTAGCCCTCCAACACCGGGTCGACGGTTTGGGGCCTACATGGGGCAGTTGCAAGCTACTTGCTGCAGGTCATGGTTTTTCTCACTTTTCTCACCAAAACCTGGCATTACTTACATTACCATAGCTGATATCCAGATGTTAACCCTTTCACCCCTATGTAACTTTAGTAGACTCTACCATATATTCATCTGGATGAGTCCATTATGGTCTACAGTGGTGAAAGGGTTAAATTAAGCACAAACCACCAACCAAACAAAATCCTTTTTTTGTGTTTGTCTTACAAATGCACCATCACAAATTAATTGTTATTCAAATGCAAAGTGTCGGTTGGTCTTGTATAACGGAACAAACAGAAATTTGTGTCAAAAATCAGAGAACATAAAATAGTTCAATAAAATTGTGGAGTGACAACATCACAAAAGACTGGTGTTCCTTAAGGATGTATGCTACCTTCTGTTACATGCATCTCCTTTACAAAAGATTTCTGCTCTTTCTTCAATACTGAAATGTTTGAAATGTAACTCAAACAGATACCATTGAAAGTTACCCATAGTGATAACACTTAGATAATTCAAATAATTATAGTAATGTCAAGGGAGATAACTCTAACACAAAACATATGGCATGTAAGGTAGCCCCTTAACATGTTTATTATATGTGAATAAAACAGTTTTTGGTATTTGAGATTTTAATGTCAGAATTGCCTGATATTGATCCACACTCATCCTTGAAATTCCAGGGATCACATGCACTCTTTTATATTCACTGCACCCATGTAATATGTTATGATAAAATAAATGGTTCTGTGCACACCACCTTGTGAATACAAGTAGACTAGTGTGATCATTTGATGTACATCAAAAACAATCATGTGGCGGCATAAAGGTAAAATTGACCAGCTTTGAAGTCGGGACAGGACAGGTATCAGCCTTGCGATTGGTCAGTTTTTTTACATGAAACAAATCAAATTCCTAACTGCGTGCCTTTGATTTTGTCGTGATATACTCTAAGGGTGCAGAGAAGGTAAGTGAGTGTAACCTCTGGATTTTGAGGATGATCATCACTGAGAAACTCTACCTTTTTTCTAGTCCCATATACATCGTCTTTGCTGGTCCTTGTGACATCAGAAGTTGTATCGTCCTTAACAGGGCATCAGTCATGTCATCATCATAGATCACTAAACATAAAACAAAAGTCACTGCAACAATGTAACTTAATATAGTTCACTGAATGACAAGTAACACTAATCAGTAGGCCCTGTTCCCCTTTAGCCCACCACCTCTTCCTCTAGTCCTGCCCCTTTTCCCCCTTTAGTCCCTCCCTTCTTCCTCTTGTCCTGCCCTTTTTCCCTGTAGTCCCTCACTTCTTCCTCTATTCCTGCCTCTTTTCCCCTTTACTCCCTCCATTCTTCCTCTTGTCCTGCCCCTTTTCCCCCTTTAGCCACACCCTTCTTCTCTAGTCCTGCCCCTTTAGTCCCACCCCTTCTTCCTCTAGTCCTGCCCTTTTTCCCCCATAGTCCCTCCCTTCTTCCTCTAGTCCTGCCTCTTTTCCCCTTTACTCCCTCCCTTCTTCCTCTTCTCCTGCCCCTTTTCCCCTTTAGTCCCACCCCTTCTTCCTCTTGTCCTGCCCCTTTTCCCCTTTAGTCCCACCCCTTCTTCCTCTTGTCCTGCCCCTTTTCCCCTTTAGCCACACCCTTCTTCTCTAGTCCTGCCTCTTTTCCCCTTTACTCCCTCCTTTCTTCCTCTTGTCCTGCCCCTTTTCCCCTTTAGTCCCACCCCTTCTTCCTCTTGTCCTGCCCCTTTTCCCCTTTAACCACACCCTTCTTCTCTAGTCCTGCCTCTTTTCCCCTTTACTCCCTCCCTTCTTCCTCTTGTCCTGCCCCTTTTCCCCCTTTAGTCCCACCCTTCTTCCTCTAGTCCTGCCCCTTTTCCACTCTAACCGCTCCCTTTCGTTGGTATCACAGATACATATACATGCACACAAAATATGTATGTAGAGAAATCTGTGATTGATTAAGAACTACCATTAGAGAAAAATAGTTTCATCAGGTGAAATAAACTTCGAAAAACAAAGGTAATTATATTAGGCTGTAACTACTAAAGGAGAGGATCTGATGCATAGATGCAACTACTATTGGCGAATGTTGCATTTTGTTACAAATATTTTAATTACCATCAGCAGCAATGATGACATCGGCTAGCAGGAGATCCGCAATGTCTGATTCACTCAATCCAAAGTTCTCTTTTCCTGGAAAGAAAATGGCAGTTGAATTTAGAATACATTGTGTTAATTTGCAAGTCAATATGAAATTTGTGGTATATCTTTGCATGCATTCACAATATCAATTTTTCCAAAGTCCAAAGTAAGCAGTGAGAGAAAAAGATTCAAACATTATGCCAGTATGGGTGATGTAGAAATTCTGCACCCTACAGAAGAATTTTTGTATCTCCTATATATTCTCTTAGTATCCATACTACTGATTTTATCAAACCCCTTTTCATTTTTTTCTTTCACAATTTCATGGATCAATGTAAAAAACTAACTTGTGGGTGAACAAAAATCATTATCAGGATTGGCAAACATGTTCACTGGATTATTCTTTTGCAAAATTGTGTAAACTGATTATATACTGACTGCAAATAAATCAAAAATTAGAACTACATGAACCATTCAAGCTTTACAATATAAAACAAGTCAAATGTGTCCAATTCAACCCCGGAGTATTCTGACATCCTGTCCAATCCAACATCAATGCTGTAACCTATTAATACAGATTACTAACAAATATGACCTGTGTTTTCAGACATCCTGTATAATCTGACCAATATAAGATGTCCCCCAGGGTGTCGGATTAGACAGGTTAATGTAACAAATATGTTGTGTCCTACAGGATGTCAGATTAGACAAGCAAATCCAACCAACACATTGTGTCATACAGGGGGTCAGATTAGACGAGTAAATCTAACCAATATGTTGTGCCATCCAGGGGGTCAGATTAGACGAGTAAATCTAACCAGTATGTTGTGCCATCCAGGGGGTCAGATTAGACGAGTAAATCTAACCAGTATGTTGTGCCATCCAGGGGGTCAGATTAGACGAGTAAATCTAACCAGTATGTTGTGCCATCCAGGGGGTCAGATTAGACGAGTAAATCTAACCAGTATGTTGTGCCATCCAGGGGGTCAGATTAGACGAGTAAATCTAACCAGTATGTTGTGCCATCCAGGGGGTCAGATTAGACGAGTAAATCTAACCAGTATGTTGTGCCATCCAGGGGGTCAGATTAGACGAGTAAATCTAACCAGTATGTTGTGCCATCCAGGGGGTCAGATTAGACGAGTAAATCTAACCAGTATGTTGTGCCATCCAGGGGGTCAGATTAGACGAGTAAATCTAACCAGTATGTTGTGCCATCCAGGGGGTCAGATTAGACGAGTAAATCTAACCAGTATGTTGTGCCATCCAGGGGGTCAGATTAGACGAGTAAATCTAACCAGTATGTTGTGCCATCCAGGGGGTCAGATTAGACGAGTAAATCTTACCAGTATGTTGTGCCATCCAGGGGGTCAGATTAGACGAGTAAATCTAACCAATTTGTTGTGTCATACAGGGGGTCAGATTAGACGAGTAAATCTAACCAATATGTTGTGTCATACAGGGGGTCAGATTAGACAAGTAAATCTAACTAATATGTTGTGTCATACAGGGTGTCAGATTAGACGAGTAAATCTAACCAATATGTTGTGTCATACAGGATATCAGATTAGACAAGTAAATCTAACCAATTTGTTGTGTCATACAGGATGTCAGATTAGACAAGTAAATCTAACCAATATGTTGTGTCATACAGGATGTCAGATGAGACAAGTAAATCTAACCAATATGTTGTGTCATACAGGATGTCAGATTAGACAAGTAAATCTAACCAATATGTTGTGTCATACAGGATGTCAGATGAGACAAGTAAATCTAACCAATATGTTGTGTCATACAGGATGTCAGATTAGACAAGTAAATCTAACCAATATGTTGTGTCATACAGGATGTCAGATGAGACAAGTAAATCTAACCAATATGTTGTGTCATACAGGATGTCAGATTAGACAAGTAAATCTAACCAATATGTTGTGTCATACAGGATGTCAGATGAGACAAGTAAATCTAACCAATTTGTTGTGTCATACAGGATGTCAGATTAGACAAGTAAATCTAACCAATATGTTGTGTCATACAGGATGTCAGATGAGACAAGTAAATCTAACCAATTTGTTGTGTCATACAGGATGTCAGATTAGACAAGTAAATCTAACCAATATGTTGTGTCATACAGGATGTCAGATGAGACAAGTAAATCTAACCAATATGTTGTGTCATACAGGATGTCAGATTAGACAAGTAAATCTAACCAATATGTTGTGTCATACAGGATGTCAGATGAGACAAGTAAATCTAACCAATTTGTTGTGTCATACAGGATGTCAGATTAGACAAGTAAATCTAACCAATATGTTGTGTCATACAGGATGTCAGATGAGACAAGTAAATCTAACCAATTTGTTGTGTCATACAGGATGTCAGATTAGACAAGTAAATCTAACCAATATGTTGTGTCATACAGGATGTCAGATGAGACAAGTAAATCTAACCAATTTGTTGTGTCATACAGGATGTCAGATTAGACAAGTAAATCTAACCAATATGTTGTGTCATACAGGATGTCAGATGAGACAAGTAAATCTAACCAATTTGTTGTGTCATACAGGATGTCAGATTAGACAAGTAAATCTAACCAATATGTTGTGTCATACAGGGGGTCAGATTAGACAAGTAAATCTAACCAATATGTTGTGTCATACAGGGGGTCAGATTAGACAAGTAAATCTAACCAATATGTTGTGTCCTACAGGATGTCAGATTAGACAAGTAAATCTAACCAATATGTTGTGTCCTACAGGATGTCAGATTAGACAAGTAAATCTAACCAATATGTTGTGCCATCCAGGGTGTCAGATTAGAGGGGTTAATCTTATCAATATGTTGTGTCCTACAGGGTGTCAGATTAGACAAGTTTCACTCTACTAACTTCTACTACCAGTCCTACCTGGTACAAGGCGGTCCTGACACCAGTCCAGCTCCCTGACCACGACATTACAGCTAGATGTGAGGTCGGCATTCAGCTCTATGTTATGATGGGCCATACTGAGCACACTTTCACCCACATCTGTAACAGGCAATTAAAGTCTGTGGTTAAAAATGATCTTAAATTGCATGGGAAATATATACAAAATCCTATTATCTTAATGTTCATCAGAAATTAAACATGAAATTCTACAGAGAAACTTGTATAATCTGATGTTTTGTATTTCAACATATTGTCCAACCCAATATGAGGCTGTAAAATTTCAAAACATCAATCTGTGCAATCTGACATCCTGTCTAATCTGATCAATACGTTGTGTTCAACATGGTGATTGGCTGACTGCATACATAATTTAAACTGTACAATCGTTTTTTGAATTAATTTTTTCAGTGTAGATTGTTTATATATATATATATTAGTTGCATCATCCAACAACCAACACAAACAATTAATGCAAATTAAAAAAGGAAAATGTTTGCATCCTTCAATAAAAAAACTTTGATCTATGGAATAAACATAGTACAGTGAAGCATGTCTCATCTGACTATTGAGTATTTTGACATCCTTTTTAATCCAACATGTTGCTGTTATCAAATTTCTAATGAAAACGTCCTCAAATAATACCTGTGTATGCCAACATCCTGTCTAATCTGACCATTACATTGTGTCCTTGGCGGTTGTCAGATTAGACAGTATGTTTAAATGAATTATTATTGAAACCTGTCTAATCTGACAACTGCCAAGGACACAATGTAATGGTCAGATTAGACAGGTTTCAATAATAATTCATTTAAACATACCTTTTTCAGTTATCTTATTTCACTGCTTTTGGAGCTTTAAGTATTGCGCTTAAATATGATTTTGCTTATTGAAATGTATGCATATCGTTTTTATAGCATATACATGTATTGAGGGCGTGCCAATTTATGAATGCACTAATCTGTTAAAATTTGGTAATGCGCTAAAATTTGGGTGTGCTTAGATAAGTACTAATTACGTGCCTATTTAACTCATTCACCCCTGAAGACACATTTGAACTCTTCCAACTCAAAGGTTGGAATAGTTCATCATGAAATTTCAGGGGTGAATGAGTTAAGTGCCCACTGATTAAGGAATTGTGTTACCTGTACAGTAAACAGTTTTAGCCGTCATGGCAGCAACTATCGTTGTCAGTCCTGTACCTGCTCCGAGGTCGAGGACAGTCCTCCCGGAGAAATCGGCCTTGTGGTGGAGGATGTAATCACAGAGTAGCAGCGCTGCAGTCCACACCTGTGTATACACTGGTAAAATTTAGCCGCTGACACTAATGGGTACAGAACTCCATTAAAATGTGGTGAAAATGTACCGTGAAAGTCGCAGAAGTTTTCACTACATTTTCACAGAACTGTGAAACTGATGTAGAAAATTTTATCGGAAACTATTTTAGAAAAACATAATCATCAGAATGAATCAAATATTGTATCATTGAACATCCAAATCATCTTATATCACAATAACCAATATATATCTATAAAAGAAATACAGACTGCTTAGTACTGTGAAATAGATTTAAAAGAAAAATATTTTGAAAGAAATATACACATCGTTAAGTAGATTACAATTACTAATAATTTAAGTGTTCGGAATCAAAATCACATAATTTTGACCTGATTTACAACCATTCATTACAACAAAATTTCTCATTTTTAACAGCAATAGTCTAACATTTTAAAATGAATGTGACCATGAAGATAAAAGTAATAATTGATAGTTTGTATCTATATTGTATTTTGTTAAATCTGTATCCTTCAATAAGTCTAAAAGCAAATCATTTCATCATGTACTCTCTGACTCTTTAAGAAAAAGTGTAAGGCTTATTTTAACCCTTTCACCACTGTAGACCATAATAGATTAATAGACTCATCCAGATCAGTGCATGGGAGAGTCTACTAAAGTTGCATATGGGTGAAAGGGTTAAATAGCAAAACTCCATACCTGTTCACCAACATCCTTTAATTCTGTAGCAAGTCTGTGTTCTACAATGAAAATAAAATGTGTGCAACAGAGAAATATAAACTGTTACAATAAACTGAGGCTATACTTATGATTCAACATGACCTGTATCAGAGCTTAGAAATTTCAGTTTGTGATAAATATTTAAATTATGTGAGAAGTGGATTCAAGTCAATTTAATTGTGTTAATGCGTAAAATGTGTAATAAATCAGCTGTATTTTGTGATATTTGTGTTAGAAAATTCTATCACAAATTTTGTATGTATTCAAGTGATGTTGGACAGAATACATTCAATGATCCAGTTATCTTTCAATCCAGGCAAAAGTGCTTGATTATTACAGACAGCAGGATTGTAAGAGGGATGGATTGTGAGATAGAGAAAGACCAAACTATCCCCTAAATAACACAATTACTAGCTGGTTGGTGGGACAACTGGATTAGTGGTGACTTGATATCATAAGAAGTGGTGACTTAACAACTGGATTAGTGGTGTATTGATATCAGAAGAAGTGGTGACTTAACAACTGGATTAGTGGTGTATGGATATCAGAAGAAGTGGTGACTTAACAACTGGATTAGTGGTGTCTTGACAACTGGATTAGTAGTGAGAGAATAACTGGATTAGGGGTAACTTGATAACTGGATTAATGATGTCTTGATAAATAACAGAATATGGTGGTGAATTGGTAACTGGCTTAGTGGTGTCTTGATATCAGAAGAAGGGGGGACTTAACAACTGGATTAGTGGTGTCTTGACAAGTGGATTAGTAGTGAGAGAATAACTGGATTAGAGGTAACTTGATAACTGGATTAATGATGTCTTGATAAATAACAGAATATGGTGGTGAATTGGTAACTGGATTAGTGGTGTCTTGATATCAGAAGAAGTGTTAACTTAACAACTGGATTAGTAGTGAGAGAATAAATGGATTAGTTGTAACTTGATAACTGGATTAATGATGTCTTGATAAATAACAGAATGTGTTGGTGAATTGGTAACTGGATTAGTGGTGACTTGATATCAGAAGAAGTGTTAACTTAACAACTGGATAAGTAGTGAGAGAATAACTGGATTAGTTGTAACTTGATAAATAACAGAATGTGTTGGTGAATTGGTAACTGGATTAGTGGTGACTTGACAACTGGATTAGAGGTGTCTTGATATCAGAAGAAGTGGTGACTTAACTGGATTAGTGGTGACTTAACAACTGGATAAGTGGTGACTTAACAACTGGATTAGTGGTGTCTTGATATCAGAAGAAGTGGTGACATAACTGGATTAGTGGTGACTTGACAACTGGAGTAGTGGTGACTTGATATCAGAAGAAGTGGTGACTTAACAACTGGATTAGAGGTGTCTTGACAACTGGATTAGTAGTGAGAGAATAACTGGATTAGTTGTAACTTGATAACTGGATTAATGATGTCTTGATAAATAACAGAATGTGTTGGTGAATTGGTAACTGGATTAGTGGTGTCTTGATATCAGAAGAAGTGGTAACTTAACAACTGGATTAGTAGTGAGAGAATAACTGGATTAGTTGTAACTTGATAACTGGATTAATGATGTCTTGATAAATAACAGAATGTGTTGGTGAATTGGTAACTGGATTAGTGGTGAATTGGTAACTGGATTAGTGGTGACTTGACAACTGGATTAGTAGTGACTTAACAACTGGATTAGTGGTGTCTTGATATCAGAAGAAGTGGTGACTTAACAACTGGATTAGTGGTGACTTGACAACTGGATTAGTAGTGAGAGAATAACTGGATTAATGGTGTCTTGATAAATAACAGAATGTGTTGGTGAATTGGTAACTGGATTAGTTGCGAGTAGAAGACTGGATTACGGGTGATTTAATAATTGGATAACTGCATGGATTAGTGTTGAGTCGACAGCTTCATTAGTGTGGCCTTGACAACAGGATAGTAAGTGTCTTGCTAACTGGATCAGTGGTTACTTAAGGATTGGATTACCGCTAGTTTAAACATATTGCATAATGCACACATCTATACATTTTAATCTAAATATAAAAAAAAATATAGCAGATATGTTATTGATGGCTATGGGCCATATGCAATCAATAATGAAACGACCTACCATATTTGAGAAAGTAAAATATTGGTTTAGAGGCACTGATCCATTGAAATAGTAGAAACCTGTTGGTGGTTTTTTTTTATCCTACTAGCTGTCCTTATCACTACCTAATATGATAAATCTAGTAATTAATCTACCCTATTTATCCGGCAATAGGTCCATGCTTGGTAATAAGCCCACTAATATATATATTGCTATTAGGAAGAAATGCCAACAAAAGCTTTTTCTTTGTCCTGTAATAAAACGGACTCACACAACTAAATCAGCCAATCAGCAAGTGTTTCATACATTTGTAGTTCCTATCTAAAATAAGTCCCGGCTAATTACTGGGCCACTGAAGGAGTTTAATATAAGGAACTGATGACAGATATTCAGATAAATAAAATGTTCAGGTATTTCACTTTTGATAAATGTATACTTTTGGTATATTTCCATGTGTGTGTGCGGATTTGCACAGGGGCAAAATGTCTGGGGGCGTTTCTGTTTTGGGTCACCAGTTTTGCTTGTAAACTTCCGGTTGTCAACTTCTTGGTGCTGTGACACTCCAATATGCCACTAAACCTACCAAAAAAGTCATTTGTAGCCTTTGCAAGGTATGTATTTATGAATCTAGATAGTTGTCACTGGTTTTGGCCTTCAAATATTAAAGTTATTAGCTGAAATGTTTGGTAATAACATATAGTAAATGATTTAGTTGTGCGAGTCCTAATAAGCCAATTCCCCTACTTTTAGTAACAGATTATGTGTTAACTTATTGCAGGATAAATACGGTTAAGTTAACCAGTATTTCTAATACCTAAGGTAATCACTGCCTTGTCTTCACTGTTCCTACACCTAGGTAGAATCAGGTCGCCATCCTCATCGACCTCCAGGCGTGACAGACAGGGTTCTGCTTCTGTTCTGTCCTCCGCAGGTTCTGTAGTGTCCACATTGATCGCTTCTTGTTCAGCATTGTTTTTTGTCTGAACACTGTCACTTGATGGGAATTTGATTTCAAATCTTGTGACTGAAATATTAATGAATGAATAAAATAGATAGTTATTCATAACTAGCATATATATGTATTAGCTTAAACAAGTGAAACTGTCTAATCTGACCCCTGAGTATTCTGACATACTGTCCAATCTGACACTACTATATAATCCAATTTCTTATGGATATACTACCAAATAAATTCTGCATATTCTGATATCCTTTCTAATACAACCAATTTGTTGGGTCCCACTGGCTGTCAGATTAGACAGGTTAAAGTATCGAGATCTGGTCCCTGAGGTCTTGTATCTGGCCCCTGTGCTGAAAAGTACAATAACAGTAAGGCTTTGAATGTCGTGTAAATATGTAAACTGTGATTTATAAATGTACCCGAATTTCTTATGTTGGTTGACAAAGCTTCACATGTGTGATATAAATGAACTTCTGATAAAACCTTCTCCCCCGGCTCCATTTACTGCTTTGAGGAGATGAGAAAGACAGGAATAGTCTCACAAAAAGAAAAACGTGTTGATTAAAGTAGAACTGAGTATAGTCGTTTTCTTTAAAGTCCTTATATTTCAATTTGATTTTGAATGGACAGCATGTTGATACTATTATATTGAATAAAAATAACATAACATTATTTTTGTAAAAACTTAAATCCGGTCAACAGTTCTATATCTGAACTTTAGTACTTACCACAATAAACGTGAAAAATTAACGCTCTTTGTTTTTTCGCGCATTTTCTCATTATTTTATTCTTTTAAGACAACGACTGAAATAAGTCTCGTGATTGTAAACAAATATGGAGGTGAATGCAGCATTTCTTCAGCTATTTGCATTGTTTTCGTTCATAGCATCCTTTACGCAAGCCGTCAAGTACACACCCGACTGGAAGTCATTAGATTCAAGGCCGTTGCCTGCATGGTATGATGAGTCTAAAATAGGAATTTTCTTGCACTGGGGATTATTTTCTGTTCCCGCATACAAGTCGGCATGGTTTGTTTACTTTTACAACCACAACTATCCAGATTACGTAAAATTTGTACACGACAACTACGGTCCTGACTTCACATTCGCTGACTTTGCACCCCTGTTCCACGCAACATTTTACAACCCTGATGGATGGGCAGATATCTTCGAAGCCTCAGGAGCAAAGTGAGTATTTAGTAAGAAGTTCGATTCATCATTATTTATCCGGTAATAAGCCCATGCGAGTCGCAATCAGCAAAGGTGCCGATGGTTTGCAAATTGCATTTCACATGTATATGACAAAACAATGAGTAGTGGATTGAGCAACTCATCCATATCCTTGCAAAATTATGGCAATTGTGTGTGTAGAAAACATGTACAGTATTCAATATACAAGTCGGGGGGAAAACCACTAACTTGCGTATAATACGCAAACTTGCCTATTATACGGGGTATGGATTTGTTACTAAAAATAGCCACAATCACTTTAATAAAAAAAAAATCAAATTGTTTGTCCAAGTCGCATTTATTCAGTCATGAAACATAATACAAATGCAAAAATAAACTTTATTTGCATGTGGAAAAGTACCAAAAATAGGTGCAATACTTGCAGTTACATCAAGTTTCTAAGTAGCTAACGCTTTCAATAAACATCTTTTAGCAAAATATTATTTACCTTGTCGTAAATTAATGCGATTTTTAATAATATCTTGCAAAAGTTACTGTTAAAGTGATTTGGGTTATTTTTAGTAACAAATCCATACTCCATGACTGGCGTTATATTACTTATAATAGGCGAGTTTGCGTATTATATACAAGTTGGTGGTTTTCCCCAACCTAATACATGTTTCCCAATATAAAATGAGTTACAACTTGAAATTGTAAAATGGTTTCTATGTTCACATATTTTACAAAAAAATACTTCGCATCATGGTCATGCATGAGTGATTTTACTCCTCAAATAATGTTGACAATGCAAAACAACCTGCAAATTCAATATACAGTCGAAACTCGTTATCTCGAACTCGTATAACTCGAAGACCCCGTTTAACTCGAAGTATTTCATCGGTCCCGGCCAAAACTCTTCTTAATCGTAGTAATAAAAACTCTGATAATTCGAACTCTGAAAACTCGAAAAACTCGGATATCCCGAAGTGAAACATCGGTCCAAACAACGAAAATCCTACATAAAAATATTCACAAGTCTATCATATATTCTTTAATTATTTGATACGTGCTACGGTAAACATCGTTCTCATAGAGCAGCTTACGCTCGGTCATAATTACTTCGATTAAACTTATGGCATTAAAATGTGTTTGACTGTAAAAACACTTTGTACAAATAAAGAAACAAACTTCATCAATGTTGATTAACAACAATTAGTACTTACTGCGAGCCCATAAACAATTTGAATAGCACTTTATTTACACCAAAGACTTGGCACTTTCATTTCCGCATTGAAATTTCTATCAGCATAGCACGAGGTCGGAGACAGCATGTGTGTTTATTGTAACATTAATTAATTAATGAATATGATTATGAATAAGTTGTTATTTTATAGTTATCTTTTTGTCATTTATCGACTGTTTAAATACGTTGATTGTCAGAGAAATCAATGACATATATAGCCTCATATTGGACCAAACACTTTACCAAGCTTTATGCCAAACATAGGAACTCGCTTAACTCGAATACTCGGATAACTCGAAGTTTCCCAACGATCCCGTCGACATCGAGATAACGAGGTTCGACTGTAGTATATATATTATGTGAAACAACCCAAGGTTTATCCTTGTGCTTTTCTTTTCATTGTATGTAGCCATAGCCACAACTCCTATACAAATATTTTAATTAATCAAAACCTGTATGAAAATGATACTTAGATTATTATACTGTTACCATAGTGTTTACTATGGTGTTTACTATGCTGTCACTATGCTGTTTACCCTACTGCACAGATATGTGGTATTGGTTACTAAACACCATGAAGGCTTCACCCTTTGGCCATCCAACCACTCCTGGAACTGGAACGCTGGTGATGTTGGACCTAAGAGGGATCTAGTGGGTAAGTAATTTGAAAACTCAAACTTCCATCTTTTGTCTGCAGCTGTCCATTACGACGTTACCATGCGTATATATTGTACTGTTAACAAAATTAACATTTACGATGGTTTAGTTTTGGTTGCTTCTTTAACTGGTAATGACATATATAGAATTTTCCTTCTTTGGAGGAAAATTTTCCATGCATTATTATAGTTCCCTTGTTCAATAAAACTTCCATCCACTTAACAAACTTAACAAAGTTTCACATTTAAAGTTAACTCAATATTGCCATTTGTAAGGCTTGATTGCAATATTTTAATAGATACACATATATGTCATATAATTTTGGACGAAAAGGTCTTAATAAAACAATGAGTTGATCATGGTATTAGTTCTACTTTAAGATCTAAATCACATTTTGTTCTAGTTGTTGGATTTTGTTCTGAGTTATTTTGAACAGCAAGACAATTATGTCTAACATTTGGTCATACCATCCCAACAGTTTCCCTCTCGTTCCATTTCAACATCACTTAGCTACTGATCATCATGAGCACTCTTATATTTTACAAAAGATACGATTTCCAAACAGTAAATTTCAAACAAAATTAAGTTCTAAAACAGTGCTGTGTATGAAAATCTCAACACCACTGTATCGGTCTAGAAAATAATTTCATTGATGATTTCCGTATATATACTGTCCATTATTGCATCTGTTCAAACCGATTGGTTCCTTATCCATTTTACTTCAACTACTGTACAGTACATGTATGTTAGTCTTTCATGTCATACCATGTTTCAATGTAAATATTCAGTGATAATAATGTTTTTCCATAGCTGAACTTGCCACAGCTGTCAAGAAGAAGAAGGACATGCATTTTGGGGTGTACCATTCCCTGTTTGAGTTCTTCAATCCTCTATATCTGGCAGACAAGAAGAATAACTACAAAACTCAGGATTTTGTCAGGGTAAGTTTATTTTCCAAAACTTTTATCCCTGTACACTTATCATGGCTGAATCGTCATTTTAAATATTTGGAAACTCAGTTTTCAGATTACATTATCCCCTCATGATGGAGTTAGCAGGGGATACAGAAAGGCATTTATCCTTTATATGGGTTCCAACCTTTTTAGCACAAGTTGTGTAGGGGTTGTGTATCGAATCTCTTTCATTTCGTACACTGGTTGGCAATGACAACATGATGAGCCCTATCAAAATTCAAGGTCATAGATCAAAGGTCAAGGTCAAGTTTGAGAGTTGTGATTTCATATGACTGTCATTAAGTCCATGTGACCTTGATCTCAAGATCAAAGGTCAAAGGGCAAATAAGGGCAAACTTTTCAATTGTAACTTAAACTTTTCGGGTACTGTGAACTTCAATGTCATAATCTTTTAACTGCATATATTAATTCATATACCAGTATGCATCTTATAATTAATTAGCAGGCGGTTCCTCTAATAATCTAAATGTATTTAAGAAAATTTTAGATACACATTTATTGGACTTAATTCGTATAGTTTCATTTTATAAGGGAATGGGAAGGAATATTGGCTAAACAAGGGGAGACCTAATATGTTTTTGTTCAGTTACGATTTTGACATCAAATGTATTTTAATGCATTGTGGTCAAATTATCCCCAAAACCACTGACAAGTATTCACGAGTGGTATCTATTCCTTTAGAACAAGGCCTTACCCGAGCTGTATGAGCTTGTCAACAACTACAAGCCTGATGTGATCTGGTCGGATGGGGACTGGGAGGCACCAGACACCTACTGGAACTCAACCGAGTTCATTGCCTGGCTCTACAACGAAAGGTACTGATTTCTCTTACATTTGTTGACGCTTCAATATTTTTATCTCCAGTGAGGAATTAAAGAATTTTGCATATTATTTACTTCATTGATGAAAATTTCATGAAGCGAAATAATATTCCACTTAAAGGGAAATAATGAAGTAATCATGAAATACAGTTTGCTTAAAGATTGCATTTAGATTGTGTAATAATGGATCATGAACTATCATGCTTTTCAATAATTTTGTTTGATACAAATTGAGCACTTGCAGGGGCAAATCGTTTCTATTAAAAATCCAAATGCATTTGTTAAAAACAAAACTGCTAGCTATATAGCCCCAATTTTTTTTTCGAAGTGATATATTAAAAATATTCTTTGGTTCTCATAAAAAGGAAACTGTCTCAGGGTGTGGGGGATAAGAATACTATCTCAGGGTATGGGGGATAAGAATACTATCTCAGGGTGTGGGGTATAAGAATACTATCTCAGGGTGTGAGGGATAAGAATACTATCTCAGGGTGTGGGGAATAAGAATACTATCTCAGGGTGTGGGGGATAAGAATACTGTCTCAGGGTGTGGGGGATAAGAATACTATCTCCGGGTGTGGGGGATAAGAATACTATCTCAGGTTGTGAGGGATAAGAATACTATCTCAGAGTGTGGGGGATAAGAATACTGTCTCAGGGTGTGGGGGATAAGAATACTATCTCAGGTTGTGAGGGATAAGAATACTATCTCAGAGTGTGGGGGATAAGAATACTGTCTCAGGGTGTGGGGGATAAGAATACTATCTCCGGGTGTGGGGGATAAGAATACTATCTCAGAGTGTGGGGGATAAGAATACTGTCTCAGGGTATGGGGGATAAGAATACTATCTCAGGGTGTGGGGGATAAGAATACTATCTCAGGGTGTGGGCGATAAGAATACTATCTCAGGGTGTGGGGAATAAGAATACTATCTCAGGGTGTGGGGAATAAGAATACTATCTCAGGGTGTGGGGAATAAGAATACTATCTCAGGGTGTGGGGGATAAGAATACTGTCTCAGGGTATGGGGGATAAGAATACTATCTCAGGGTGTGGGGGATAAGGATACTATCTCAGGGTGTGAGGGATAAGAATACTATCTCAGGGTGTTGGGCTAATGTAATTGTGCATCCCTGATGACTGGTTGTCAAGTTATTTTCTTCATCAAAATGTAATTTCTTTCATGCAACAAAATGATTAATCTGCTGAAGATACATGTATATGTTTTATTATAAAACACTTTGTTCTTAAAAATAACAACATGGTCATCATATCTCTGTAGTCCTGTGAAAGATACGGTGGTGACAAACGATCGTTGGGGAAACAACACTAGATGTCACCACGGAGGTTTCTGGAACTGCCATGACAAATTCAACCCAGGTACGAAATCATCAGTCATGTTGTTTTTGGGATGCAGATATTGAGGACGTGTCTACATTTTGAGAACCCTTTGTATCTCCGAGTCATAGGACTCATTGACATGTTAGAAATGATGTTCAGGACTTTCCTGATAAAGATCTGATAAAAATAAGTGTGTAGTGGGGAATTTAAAAGAAATTCTTAGTAATGGAACAAAATTGTTAAGGCCAAAAAAAAAAAAAATCTGTTTAGGGTTGCATGGGCCGAAAAACAAGGGCAGGTAGGTCGATTTTTTTTTGATTTTTTTTTGTTAATTTTTGTGTACTGTGTGGTCATGTGATTATGACCCTACTATTGTATGTAAAACAAAGAATTACATAAACAAGGTTCATTTGGAGGCAAATTGTGCTCCATAAGATGACATTTAGCGCCAACACGGAGCTGGAAGCCATTTTGAAAGGCAAGGAACCTTCTAAACTTCGAAAATCAGCGTTTTTCTTTATTTTTTTCATCAAAAAGTTTTGGGTCGGGGGTAAAAAGCTAGGATCGGTCGGGAACCCTCAACAGACAGTTTTTTTTGGCTTAACCATTATAAACTGGGTTTTTAATAATTTGAGAAATAAAGTTTGACAAACCTCTGTGTGTTAGACTTACTGACCAGTTGTTCAACTGTTGATACTTATTGATAGCACATTCCAACATCAGTAACTGTGTTATTCAAGGTCACATGTTTAAGGTCAAGATCACACATTTACAGAATCTTTATATTGGTGATGGGAAAATCAGATATTTTGGTTGTCTACAGTTTATTTCTCCAACCAGACATCCATCTCTGGAGCTCAATATAAAGTGTAGGTCAAATACTCAACATCAAGATCATATCTGCAGAATCTTGACATCATGACAAGAAATTATGTATCTGGCTTGTATGCAGGTTATTGACATAAGTTTAAGGTCAGCACCCATCCATGACCTTTTAATACCTTGATAATGAAAAATGTCTTGCTTGTTCCTAAGAGCTTGAAGATGCCATAGGCTAACAAGAACAGCAGGTCACATGATGTGCCTGACTAAAACTTGAAAAAAAACCTACAGTTTTTAGAACTAGCTTGAAAGCCTGCTATTACATAGAATTGTCGTAGAGCCATGTGTTTTGTGGTCACTGACCTTCAAAAGTGAGGATAATAGCCGCAGGTAATAGCCACAGGGTACAGCAGTGGAATGCTTTTGTTTGTGACAAAAACTTATTGAAACGGTTTATACAATATAGTGAGTTATTGTGCAAACAACCCAACATTAGAATTGAATTGTTGTAATCTACATCAGTAACAAATTTGTAGGCTTTCTGCATTGTAATGATTTAAACCATTACATTTCATACACATATTTTGAAAAATACAGTTTCAGAAGACAAGCATCTAAAGAGCAATTTTCCCAAAAGCATCATAGTTCACATTATATCCAAATTCCTAGATATGAATTTGAGCTGTATATTTTGGCATCCCAATTTTTAGAAATTTTTATATGAAAAGTAGTTAATGTTGATGATTGTTGTTTTCAAAGCTACGTTTTGCATATTTTTCCATTATTCTAATTACAGGAAAACTGTTCACACCCAAATGGGAAAACTGTATGACTGTCGACAAGAGGGCCTGGACTCATCGTCGTGACGTCACAGCAGAGGACTGTAACACCGTCAACGAACTGATCACAGTAATGGCAGAGACAGTTAGGTATGTCATGGTGCGCAGTGAGACATGAGCTATTGGAGAAACATTGTTCGCTTTAACAGGAAAAAATATGATGCCTGGCCATGTCAATCTGTGTTTAAATATTTAAGTATTAATTACTGGTACATGAAGACTACTATTAAAATAAAGATTTTATTTTTTATTTTTTAAACAGCTGTGGAGGAAACCTACTGATGAATGTCGGCCCTTCAGCTGATGGTCGAATCATCCCAATTTTCGAGCAGAGACTGAGACAATTTGGAGCGTGGATGAAGGTCAATGGAGAAGCCATCTACAAATCCAAGCCTTGGCATACACAGAGTGACACTTTCGACAAGGAAGTCTGGTACGTTATTTAATCTTTCATGTTTTAAGTCACTTGTTATTCCACAACTGGTATAACTGGAGGGGACTATGTGATTGTACATGTCCATCCGTCCATTAAATATACAACATTTGATAAACCGCCCTATCTAGCTTAATAAACCACTCTAAAGCACTTTACAGAACATATATATAGAGTTCATACAATCAATACAATGAACATATATATATTAAATAATACATTATTCAATACAATTTTAAGGAATCAGCAGGAGCTGCCTTATCAGGCATTAACTACTAGTCCTATGCCACCTGGCTAATATCTCCTTATGTGTGTATGCTTGAGTGTGTGCTTGAGATGTTTTATGTTGCATTCTGACTGTCCAATCACACATTGTCGGGTGCTCTTATTCACATAGGATTTTAAAATTTGGTAGGTACATATGTACATTTTGAAGTGGCAGAGTGTGGCAAATTAATATTAGGCCACTGTGACCTCTGTTTCGACCTTTGACATCTATCACTGGGAAAAGTTTGTCCCAAGCTGAAGTTCCATATTATGACTTCAAGTAGCTTTAAACTAATTAGTACAAGGATATCTTTTAATGATAGAATGTAGCATGCTAAAAGTAGGTCATGTTGACCTTTGACCTTTATTTGGGAATGTTGTAAATGACTTTAACTGTTGCAGATAAAAAAAGAAAGAAATTGTGTGTGTGTACTTTATTTCTTGAACAATGCCTGTAGAATTTATCTTGAAATACTTGAATTCGCTTTTGGAGGGTATTATATTTTGATATTGATAGTAATTATATGTATCTTTGAAATTATATGGAAGATTTGTAAATGAGTCTCCTCGGGAATTAACGTGACATTGTATCTCTTGCAAAAATAAAATGATAATATACAGTATACAAGAAGTGCTTTAAATATGGTAGATTCATACTTTTGTTATCATCCAACATATTATGAACCAGAAGAAATTAACCTTTTTATTGACTCAATCCAATTTTGTTAACAAATTTTACTTAAATCGTTTTTCTAGGTACACTTCAAAGAAAGATGTAAACGGAACATCAGTGTATGCTATTATACTTAGTTGGCCAGAATACAATGTCTTGACCCTCGGGGCTCCAGTCACCGGTCCAAACACAGTCATCGAGATGCTTGGATACAGTAAACCATTCCAGTTCTATTCAGGATTGAACAATACCATTGAGGTAGTATTCCCAAAGATTCCCGTCACCATGATGCCGTCCTATGATGCTTGGGTCCTGAAGATGACAAACTTGGCCAACCAACATGTACCGACCGGCCACAAACCTGCCAGAGACGCCTTCGTCCAGCCAATAGACATGATAGACTTTCTGTGAAACTACATTTTTGACAACAGTGTTTGCTGATACAGTAAAACCTGTCTAATCTGACACCCTGTGGTATTATTAAACAACTTGTTTGGATTAGACAGGCTGTCAGGTTACACTGATTTTATTTGGTTTTTATAAGAAATGGGTTTTTTGCATATATAAAATATAAAATATAAATTAAAACCTTTGCTCCTGTATTTGGTATTGTAATACAGGAACACTGCTGATGTTGGGTGTTTTGTAGATGTTACATACATATGTATGGTAAAACAAAATGCCTCAATAAGGGGTTGAACCTGCAACCCAGAACTTTTTTTAGTCTGACCCTCTGGTACAGAGCTCAAGAGGAAATTACCTTTAGCCACGGGAGGTCAAAGTTCTATGAAAATGATCGGAATATGGCACCTACAGTCAGGATATAGCCTAATCTATGTAAGAAATTTTGTCACATATTTTTTGTAAACAATGCTTTTTTGTTTTCCATCAGATAGATATTGTCTCATGGCTTACAAAATGTATAGCATACATACAGAGAAATGTGCCTGCTATTAATTTAAACACCCATTCAGCAGTGACAACTAGCTATATATAGTTGTTAAACTACGCTACACATGTGCCATTATAGTGCTTTTCATTGCTTTGAACACTGTCTTTAATTTTTTGCGTCAAGACACCATTATACGTGATATCCAAGTGCTCTAGCCGAAGCTTAGGCAACTTTTACCCTTTATACAACGCACATTCTATACACAATAACTGTTAAAAAGATCTGATTATTTACTCCTATTTATAGTTACTGCTTCTTTAAAACCGTTTATTACATGTATTATATATTTTCATGGTGTTGTAGTATTCTCATCATTAACTGGTTTTATGTTTACTGTGTTGAAATTGACAATCTACTAAAACATGTATCACAGATATTGACATCCTTATTCTTCAAATTATTTTATACATGTAGTTTACCAGTGATAAGCCCATGCTTGGTAATTAGCCCACCCTCTTTGTTAAACATGAAAGTTTTACGTATCGGGGTCATATGAGAGAAGAAACCTTTCATGCAATTAGCATCTAATTTTGGCATAAATCCTACATAGTTATGTTTAAGGACTAAATCCATCTAACAGCTTCACATAAGTAAGATAAAGTTATGTAATATTTAATGGCTATGTAGTGCGCTGACATCTTGCTCTGACAGTTAATATCTTGTGTATTTCGTTTAAATTTGTAAGAAAAAACTATTTCTTAAAAAGAGAAATCTCGCCTTAATAATATGTAATAAGATTAGATATTATATATGTGTGTTATCTGAAGTTACATCTATTTTCTCATGCTTTTAATGCACCTATTTACAGTTTATTCCTTTTGTCCAGTTTGACTGCTCAGATTTTTCCAAGAATTCCCTGTTAAATGTAGGGCCATTAGTACCATGAATTGCTTTGGAAAACAAGGCAGTTCATTTTGTAAACACAAATATGATATTGGAGACAAATGAGTGTGTCAGTGTAGTAACAGAGTATGTTAACATCTAAAACAACATTACACACAGGTGTATGTATGATAGACATTGAAGTATGGAACTGCTTTCAGTTGGCATTCATATTGCCTATGAATGCCAACATAAAGCAGTTCATTACTTATATTTACCATTTTCGAAATAGTTTTTTTTCACATGGAAAATTTAATTACACCTAACGCTTTTCTGCATTTCGTTCAAATGGTTTATTTATGTTATATGTGCATGCTTGTTATAATACAGCCAAGTGAATAATACAGCCATCTGTCCAGGGAAGGTCAGTGGTATCCAAGGTAACAATTATGAGGTCGTAATCGGCTCATGGCATTCATAGCCTAAATGAATGTCATCTGAATGTGGTAGGGTTATATAGTGGCAAAACCATACAATCATGGTAAATATTTTGATGTGAATTTTAAGAACACGCATATAATTATGATCATGAAATTTTCCTCCAGTATAAAAAAAAAGCCTCATCAATTTTTTTACCACATGTCATTGATCAGTTTGTTTTGTGTATTAAATAAAAAAAAACTTGCATAATATAATATTTAATTTACATATTCTTTGAATACTTCAAACATTCCAAACATTTTGTTATTGTTGTTGTTTTTTCATAAATTATCTCAGTAAAAAGTGTATATAAATGTACCAGTTTATTTGTACTGGATTTATACATGTATGTATGATGTATGATATTTTGCTATGGATATTCCAAAGTTTCTTTAATTTTCTACAACATACCAGACATGTACTTAATATGTATATGATACCATATCCTTTGTGATTTATTGTAATCCACTTTTATAAAAGTACCTTATAATATAAACATGTACATGGCTATAAACCAGAAATCCTGTATATTAATTAGACTCGTTCATACCCAGAGGGTGTAGGATAGTGAAGGTTTTCAAATAGAGTAAAGTCGAGGCTTGCTAAGGGTTTTGCCCCAGTTTGAAATTCCCCTTTCCTACACTCTTGGACATGAAAGAGTATTTTTTTCTCATTCCAATCACTAGAATAAGCTCAGAAACCATGAAAATGCATTTGGAGACTGGCCACCATTTTGAAAATATCGATCCACCCCCCCTTTTTAGACGAAAACGAATTCACCCAGCCAGATTTAGCATATCCGATATTTGCAAATAATGTTTGTGCATAAGAATTATTCTTATCTTTCTAACGTGTACGGTAAATATATCGTAAAAGGTATTAATTTCATCATGGCGCCTTTTCCGCATTGCGGCATCGGAGAGTTCCAAATTCGTGATGTCACGTCATTGTTGAGCCATTGTGATGTCACGTCACGTGAAATGGGATGTAAGATAGAAATTTCCTACACCCCTTTCTTACCCTGGACAGCTCTATCTTACACACAGGGAAATGAGAGAAAAAGAATTCCAAGGCTAATCGGGTATATGTTTGATTTGTTTTAAATGTTGTCTCCCTGAAATGTTTCAAGTAACCATTATTAAAACAGATGACAGTTTTGTGGTTTTAGGTGTGAGCTTTCAAAGTTTTAACACAAAGTGAATCACTTGCAAGACCTTGACTAGGTTAATTTAAATAAGTAGTGTATATACTGTTATATACAAAATAATGTTTCAAACCAAGAAATCAAATTGGCTGTACAAAAAGCTGTTGAATATGTACAATTTGGTAATACAAATTTGACTCGAGCTACATAAACTTTTCTACAAACAAATCGTGTACATATTTTTTGTTTTGATTTTTTATCTTTTTGAAATGTTGAAATTTGTACCTGTAACCAGTGTTTTATCTAACTTTTTTCTATCAAGAGAGGAACAAATTATTTTGCAAGGACAAACTTGTGATGGATCAGAGTGGATCAACATTGATAGACCATCATTATGAACTCACCTGCTCAGAAGGGCGAAGTAAAAAGCAAAGAGTAATACTACATGTACCGGTATATATCAAAGTCAGAGCCAATATTGAAAAAAATTGATGAGTGAAATATAGCCTTTGTTGATATGGTTGTGATCACAGGGGCCTGTACCACTATAAGCAATGGTTGTGAGATTCTACCCAATATCTATTAAAATATTTGCTGCTGCTTTTGTGAATGACACTTGTTTCCTTGAATAAGGATATCTGCAGAACATAGCTTCCCAGGTTTTTGAGTGGGAAATTTTACAGAAGAAACTAAAAGAAAAAAAAATATTTCCAATATATTTTGTATTGATATTCAATTGATTTCTCCACTAAAAGAGTTTGTTTTTGAGGATAATAAAGTTTATGTAATATAAAAAGAAATCTGTTTGTTGTATTTCTTAAAAGCTAAACAATGAAGCCTGTAAATGAACTCATGGATTAATTCTTTGTCTTATTCATGCATACTAATAGAAGCTGCAATGGAAAATTTTGACATAAATTGTACCACTTGTAAAATCAAACTTGAATTTTTGCAACAATTATGAAATAAATTATCATCTTGAAATATAAATTAGCGTTAGCGACCTGGATGGACGAATGTTGGGGATAGTATGGGAGGAAACTGGACTACCTTTTGATACACAGATTTTATTCTGTCTATACGACTTGAAAATCCTCTGCTGTCAGTACAATTTAAGACAATGTTATTAATTTGATCATCCACCTGGTCTTGTATCAGTTGTACTTCATTATGTAATGTCTACGGTGTGATAACTTCCCATTGCAGATAAATAAGGCGAAATGCCTTTTAAAAGGAATCAAGATCAAAAGACCATCATTATGAACTCATCTGCTCCAAAGGGCGAAGTGAGCTAATATGCCAGGATGTGGCATCCATTGTTCTTCGGTCCTGTGGGACCATATCAACTTTTTTACATCTTAATAATTAATTCTAAGAGGCTAAGGGTGATGATCAACATATTAGCCATTAGCATGATGCTGGGATGAAGGAATATCAAATTTGTTCAAATAAATTACCTTGACCAGCCCTTTCAAGGTCATGAGTAAAAACGATTAAGAAGGGTTAAAATACTACTTCTGAAAAACCCAGTTTGCCTAGGGTGATGATATTTGTCAAATGCTGGGATGAAAGTGTCAGATATGTTCATGATCACATCAGTCGACTGGGTTACCAAATGTTAAAAAATAAATGACCTTGATCAACTCTCTAGATCACAGGTTTCAAAACTCTTAAAACTCGCTTCAGAATAACCCAAAGGTATACAATGATATTTGCCTAATAGCATGCTGGGATAAAGGATTGTCAGTTTTATTCAAATAAATGACCTTGACCCACATTCAAGGTCACTGGTCAAATGTGTAAAACTTTTAAAAAATACTTAAGAAAAAGAAGAGGTCAAGGTTGTTGATATTTTTGACATAGCATGCTGGGATAAAGGGCTATCAGGCTTGTTTAAATGAATGACCTTGATCCGCATTCAAGGTCACAGGGGTCAGATGTATTAAAAACCGTATATATCGAAGCATGATGTGAAGAGTTATCATATTAAGCCTATTTATATAAATTTGACCTTGACCCAATTTCAATGTCAAGGATTTGGAATGAATAACAGGCCCATTGGTTTTTTCGCAATCTGCATATATGTATATTAACCCTGTAACATCTTTATGACTGCAGATGACACAGAAATCAACACCAGACCAATAGCACCAGCCTGTGAGAGCTTAGGGAATGGAAAAAAATGTATGGATGGTCAGACACATCATTGAAGTTTGATTCCATCAAGTGTAAGGTAATAGATACACAAAAAGCTAAGTCTGCATCACTCCCATTTTATACTAGCTAGGACACACCACAAGGCAGAATCTAAATTAACCTAGAGTTTTTTGAGCAAGAAAACAACCTTGATATCAACTGCATGTTTTAATCGACTCGATGAACATACCAATACTCCATTCAAAAATGCCAACAGTGTAATGAGAAAGAAATGTTTAGATCACCTGGCATGAAGGCCTTAGGTGATATTTCATCATATTTGGCCAGTAGCATGCCGAGATTAAGGGCTACCATTAATTTGTTCAAGTTAATTACATTGACCCACTTTAAAGGTCACGGGTCTAATGTGTTAAAATATTTAAATGACTTCTAAATAACCATCAGGCCTTGGGTGTTGATATTAATTCAGTAGCTAGCTGGAATGAAGGGCTCCCAAGTTTGTTCAAATGAATGACCATGACCTACTTTCATGGTCACAGGGTGAAACGTACGTGTTGAAGTCTTTTAAACAAGTTCTTCTCAATAACAAAAAGGCAAAGGGTTATGCTTGTAGCCTGTAAAATGCTTGGATAAAGAGCTTTCAAGTTGGTTCAAATGAATGACCTTGACTTTTAAGGTTACAGGAGGTCAAATGTGTTAAAATTTTAAAACAACTTCTTCTGAATAACTAAATCATCGGGTGATATTTGGCCAGTAGCATGCGGTGATGGAGGGCTACCAAGTTTGTTCAAATGAATGACCGTCACCCATATTCAAGGTCACAGGGGTCAATTGTTTTAAAAAACCAAAAGGTCCAGGGTGATATTTGGCCAGAAGGATGTTGGGATGAAGGTCTTCCAAGTTTGTTCAAATGAATGACCTTTTTGTCTGTATTAAAGGTCACAGGGGTCAAATATGTTGAAATCTTTAAATTGCTTCTGATGAATAAGTAAAGTGTACAGGGTGATTTCTTGTCGATGTGGATGACCTTGACACACTTTCATTGTCACATCTGGTCCATAGTACATAAATCTTCTCAATAAACAAAAGGTATAGGGTGGATATATTTCGCAAGTTGCATTCTGGGATGAAGGACTATAAAGTTTGTTCAAGTTCATGTCCATGTTTGACTTTCATGGTAATAAGGAGCAAATGTGTTTTAATCATTTAACAGCTTCTTCTGAATGACTTTATGTCAAGACATTGATATTTTGCCTGTAGCTTTATTATAGTCCACTTTTAAGGTTACAATTGTGAGATTAATTCCAGGTGAGTGATGCATGCCCATTGGGCCTCTTGTTTAAAAGGAATTCTTTTGCAGACATCAGATGCCTCATCACAGCTTGAATTAGGCCACTAAAAATCATTTTAACTGTCATATGCAATTCCTATTTTGTCCCACTCTATAAATCCCTATTTGTTCCCTACAATTAACACAAAGAGGACTATATGTTCAGAAGTAAACAAAGAATGAATAAAAACAAGATAGTGATCACAATAGAACATATTTTATTCATGTAAACAAATGGAATGTGTAAGATAATCAATACATGTATCAGTACATTGTACATATTTATACCATATCTGACCAAGTAAGTTCCCCATTTCTTTGTTAGAAGTGCCCCCTACCCTTTTGTTCTTGTCTATGTGTTCCCTCCCATCTGATTTAACAATTTACCACCTTTGTTGTAAAAAGTGTCCATTATAACAATTTCCAGAAGTTACTGCAATCTTTCTAATTTCTGAACGACTAAGCAGGGCACTTATCTGATCAAATACGGTACTATAAAATTTGAGAGTGAGTGAGCACTGAGCAGTCTACACAATGTTCAAAAATGAACATGTAATACAATTTCATATACAGTTCATTCTTTTTTATCATTAAAATAACAAAAGGGGACTTAAAAACAAGACTGAAGCCAAAATTGAGATTAATATTCCCAAGATATTTCCTTACCACATGCAATTCAAATATGACTTTGGAATGAACAAAAGTTCATAATAACGCCCATCTTTATTTTCAAAATATCCCCATTACATGGAAGGCAGTATATTTTTTGGACACCACAGGGTTTGGGGATATATCAAGGGAGATATATAACGGAATTCCTAAGCAAAAAGGAAAATGTAAAAATATGATACATCACTGAATGAGATTCATTCTCTAATCACAAAACATAACGCAGGGGTAAGGAACCAAAGTCAAGGAATGTTTACATTCATCTTCTAGGTTTCAGTAGGATGCCTAGTGGTATACAGAAGCCCTGTTATGGAAAAGCAAAACAAATAAACAAAAGGCATTCGGATATGTTTTGCCTGTGCCCTGCTTTGATCATCAATGTACATATCAGAGAAACTAACTTAAATGCAAAAACTTAATGTTGATGGAGATGCTGACAAAGTCAATGGACCATGAAAGGTAGGCCGCATCCAGCATTTGATGCATGGGTGGAGATACACTACCTAAGATGTATCTATGGTCCAAGTTTGGTTGGTCTAGCACTTATGTTTTCGGTGAAACTAACTTAGACGCAAAAACTTAATGTTGACGTTGCCGTCGCCAGAAAAACAACACCTTAGTCATGCTTCCGCTAATTTGTGGCGGTGAGACAAAAATGAGAGAAGCAATTCCTGAATCCAGATTTCCTTAAATGTATACTTGTGCTAACTAGTTTCAGCCTGCTAGACAGCCCCTCGGCAGAACACAGCTATTTGGCGACTGCTATATGGTAATCATGAAACAATTCAAATCTGTAACATCCCACACATTTTTATGTTATACATAGAATATACTTACAAGTGGATTTCTAAAATACCAGGCTAAATAAAACTCTGATACACACAATACACATGACTAATAACGCCAACACAGAAATGTAAAATGGATATAAATGGTATATATTCTACTACTGGTAAATGCGTAGTGTCAATTTAATGATATGCTTAGTGAAACAAATATAATTATACATGTATATGATGTATATTTATATAAAATATGTGTTTTAAACAGGTAATGTAAACATCTATTATGCACATTCTCGCCAATCTCAAAATAACTAGAAAAAGACATACCATAAATCGGGATCTTTTTACGTACTGTAAAAAATGAAATTTTTGCCCCCATTTTTCTTTCAACATGTATATATTTACGAGAGGTCAAATTCAACTTTTTTTTCAAACCTGTCCAACAACATGCAGTGAGATCTCAAACAGGAGCATTAATTTAACACAAGGAATGTTTTTTGAAAGATATTATTATTACAAAATTGAGCAGGAAGAAATGGTGCCCTATACACTTTATTTAGTCTCTGATGCTCAGTTTCTGGGAGGATTGCCCAAGTTTATCGGCACAAGTCGTTGTGGCGTCACCACATGCTCAAAGTCCGGAGAAACAACCTGGTTTTTCAGGTTGGTCATCTTGAGGACCCAAGCATCGGTGGATGGTAGAAGGGTAAACGGTACATCAGGGAATTCAACATGAAGGGTGTTGTTGACATCTGTCGTGAACTTCAATTTTCTGCCAGCAAAGCCAAGCATCTGGATTTCAGTGGTTGCCATAGGAACAGGGGCAGATAAATGAAGAGTGTTGTTCTCTGGCCAACTGAGGACAGTGGCATATACAACAGTCGTGTTGGTCGTCTTTTTTGTTGTGTACCTAATAAGCAAGCAGAAGAACACAGGTTTCATCATCTGGTCTTGAGATCAAGAAAAATATTACAAAATATGGTGTCTGACTTGCCATTATGAATGTGCATATCAATTTTGGTCGTAATTGAACCATTTTTAATAGATTTATTGCATGGAAACTGATTAACCAATCAGAAGTGTGTAGCCTCATTAATTATGCGTAAAAATATGCTCATTTGTTCACAGGAACGTGATTGGGGATTGAAAAGTGAAGAAAATCAAATTTGAAAAATGAGGAACAGTTTGACACACTTCAACCCCTTAGAAATTCAGAATTTTTAAATATTACTTAACGAATCATGAACTTTTCATAAATCATAGGAAAAAGAGCAAATTCTCTGAAAAAGGGAAGAATCAACTTGATTCCTGTATTTAGCAATCAGACTTAGCCTCACACAAGTAAATATGAATGTGCATACTGAACTCATTTTATTTATTGATGAAATCATTGAAAATCAGTCCAATTATTACATTGAATTTCTCTTCATTCTTCAACAAACATCATGAGTATTTTCAGTTTACAGCATTTGTTAATTTGGTGGATTTTATTTTCGCATGATTTGTACAAATAAACAAAAACTATTTATAGCCAAATCACAAATATCTGTTTTATGGTACATTAAAATTGTGTTACTATGAACTATCACAACGTAATTATCTCTCGTCACATTATTTACCAAACGTCCTTGGTGATTGTGTCATTTTGTGTGTGCCAGGGCTTCGAGGCATAGATGGCCTCTCCGTTGACCTTCATCCATGCTCCAAATTGTCTCAGTATTTCTTCAAACATGGGTAGGATGCGACCGTCCGAGTTTGGTGGCACATTCATCAGCAAGTTCCCTCCACAACTGTATGTATAGATAACAACTGGTTAAACAACTGTAGAAGAAGTTGATTGATTTGAGAGTCTTGACAGTGCTATGTACATGTATGTATACAGTATAATTGATGACCCTGTTCACAGGTTCATGTATTAGAACTGTATCCTGGAGCTTCACCAACACAACACTTATAATTAATAATAATTATAATAATTCAAGGTTCTTATATACCGCTTTATCACAACCTAGTTTGCAGGTCGTCTCAAAGCGGATCACAAATTATTATCCGTGGTTATAGGGCCTTTGCAAACAGCCAATATCTTTCTCAACCCCCTGTGGAGCATACAGCCGGTGTTGCCATTTTGGCGCTCACAGATAGCATTCAGCAATTCTAGCACTGCCCAACCAAATACTCATTTACAGCTGATCAGACTGGAACAAGCGGAGTTAAGTATCTTGCTCAAAGATACAACACAGTGCCGTGCCGTGACTCGAACCCGCAACCCTTTTGGTCACGAGTCTGGCGTCCTACCACTAGACTACCGTGCCTCCTCAAGCATATGAGCACATATGGACTCAAAAGTACAAAAAGGTACTTCAGTATCAAGTTAACATTTAACAATGACATCGTACATGGTTTCCACTTCCTACTTGTTTTCTCACCTTACAGTCTGAGCGAGCTCTGTCACAATCTCGTGAAGTGTGTAGATGTCGCCTGCCATGATTTCACGACGTGTACCCCAGCACTTGTGGTCGAGAGTCATGGCGTTCTCCCACTTATGGGGCAGCAGTTTACCTGTCGCAAAGAGTAAGAAACTGTCCTCAATATTTATCAACCAAAATTTATTCACTGCAGTCAAAAATTAAAACAAGATGAACTCCAAATTTAGTCCATGTTATTTTTGTCATGCTTCATCCTACACAAATGCTGTAGTTTCCAGATGTATTTAGTGTGAAATCCTTTTGAGATTTTTTTTTTATAAACAGACAAGAGATCTATTCATATTTTGTATATACTTCGAGTTGTAGAAATATTCGTTGTATTTATATTCGTGATTTCATAGCAACCACGAAAACAAAGAAAGTGTATGCCTACGAACGTTTCATGTTATACAATAGTTGTTGTCATATTTATTTGAAATTTCAGTATTCGTAAGCCATTCTTGTGTAACAGGAGTGGAAAAATGCACGGCCAGACTGGTGTTTGAACCTGGGACCCTCCCAAATCTAGACAGACGCTCTAATCAATTGAGCTACCTGGTCGCCAGCAATCGAACCCAGTCTAGTTCCGCTACATTTAAGTTTGTATAAAAAACTTTTCTTGAACTGAGGTTCAAATGCATACCGATACATTCCCCAGACTAAGGCGCTAGGTCAGAATCGGAGATTACCATGGTGACGGCCCTACCTGGGTTGTAACCGTCCTTACAGTTCCAGTAACCACCATGGTGACAGTCTGTCCCAACTCCCCACCGGTCATTGACCACAACAGTATCCTTGACCGGACTGTAAATAAGGGTAAACATAATTCTCACTGAAAATATGTATCAATCTTGACAGAAAAAAATATAAATGAAGGATGAATATATTATAAACAGCTCTTGTGTTACAATATTACAATGACGATACATACTATTCACTTAAAGGTAAGCATCAGGTGAATATATTCCATGCATAAAATAAATATAATCTATTTCCATTTTTTTTTTTTAATTTCCAATTCAACAGACCCAAGGGTCCACCTACAGAATGGATAACAACATTACAACACAAGAATGAAATATCACAGTCAGTTATGCATGTAACACAGACTAAAAGATACTCATATGTAAAACAAAAGGAATTAGTGATAGCAAATATTCTTTAACCTTACTTTGAACTCGACAAGAGAGGAACGAAACATATCACAGTCTGGTGCAAAATCAAGATAGTTAAAATTACATTGAATCCTGTTTAAATTAATACTATACTTTCTAACATTTATTCTACTTCTCTGGAAGTAAACTGGTTGAAACGAATTGATCGTAAATTACGACCAGGGACTAAAATTCATAAATAAGCAAATTATTATGAGCAACGTATTATTATATATTTTTCACACAAATCATGTACGCATAAACGTGTAGCAACATTTCAACTAGTCTCTCTCTTAGGTTAATACTGAGTGACCTTGAGAAGGACAGGGTTGCCAGTTTTTCTTGAAATATTGTGACACATTGATTCATATTTTTAAACTGATGAATCCTATTGAGATACAAACATTTCTTATTTGTCAAAAATAAAAAAGTTCAAGTCAGCCAAAATAATTAAATTCAAATAAAATGCCATGGATAATGACTGAATTAAATACAGGTTGCCTTACCTATAATTTTCTATCATGATAAAACTAAGCTTTTTTTAAAAATTATAACTAATTACTGTCCTTAATGATCTGTACCTGTCGTTGTAGAGCCAGGCGAGGAACTTGGTGGAGTTCCAGTAAGTATCTGGTGCCATCCAATGGCCGTCGGACCAGATCACATCAGGTTGGTAGTTGTTGACCAACTCGAACAGCTCTGGCATGGTCTTCCTCTGTACCACGGAAAAGGGGAGATAATCAAGTCTGACCTTTATAATTGTTTGCTTGTTTGAGTGTTTTTTAAGTTCACTTCACTTTTACCCCCCAGTGGTTCAGTTATCCAGCAGATGACAAAGCCTCTTAATAATTACATCGCCGAAGTTTTTACAAACCCGTAAGATAGTTGAGTAAGACAGGGGGGCACTAAGTATTTGTCCGTCTATATAATATTATTAGTATTGCTCGACTTAACACAAATTTAGATATTTGGCTACATGATATGTCGTAGTGTTTTATTCATGTATACATACATTAACTTTACTTATTTTACCACAATCATTAAACAAATGTATAAAATTATATTAATCACTCTTGTTGGCCTAGATAGTAGCATGCAGTGAGTCTTCATGTGGGAGAAAACCCAGAGTACCCATGCAGAGAAAACCCACATGGTTAGGCAGGTGACCCATACATTTTCACATCCTATCAGGGAATCGAGCCCAGGCCATCTTGGTGAAAGACAAATGTGATCTCCACTGCATCGCCAGATCACCCATAAATGTATTTTCACAGCACAAAGCAAAATATAGTTTTTTGACCATGGAGCTTTCGTCTCATTCACAACATTTTCATTATCACTAGTGGCTGATGGCCAGCTATTACATGTACCGGTAAAATGTCATGTTTTATCAGAAGTTGGTGGTCAATGTGTGAGCTGTCCAGCTACCTAGTCCGAATAATTCGGACTACAGCTACCATGTAGTTTTTCTTTGGGTTTTTTTGGAATTTTATGAATTAGCATTTTCATTGCTGTTATTATTACTGCTGTTTCAAGAAACTCAAATTCTCAATTATTTTTGTTGTAGCAATGCAAAATATGAGATTGCATACTTAACCTTTCACTTTGATAATAACTCACCCACACAAAGTTCTGTGTTTTGAAGTGATTGGCTTGGTCTTGGAGAAATTCTGGATTGTAGAACTCAAACAGAGAATGGTACACCCCAAATCTCATATCCTTCTTCTTCCTTACTGCTTTGGCTAGATCACCTGTTGTGAAAGAGAATTTAATTTTAATTTAATATAAACCTTTGTAAGTAATCTGAAGTGTTTACCATAGTTTGTACCCATTGTAAGTATTAATCTTGTCTACAGCTAACTGATAAATGATATGAACCAAGTTGGTGTAGTTTCAGTCTTAATCTCTCTGCTAAGTGTACATGTAAGGAAAAGAAGTCAGATAATGTGGACTATATATGCTGGTGTTAATTGAGAAATTTCCAAATTGATTGTAAGGCTATGGCAAAATAAAAGTATGTTTATTATAGGGCTTTATGTACAAATTTATACGTAGTCAGTCGCAACAGTTTACTTTTTAAATACATGATTTTTGAGAATTGAGAATGCATGTATTTTATTTTTAAGTTTATTTACTTAATAAATTCACTATCTAATGCAATTTCTGAAATTTTGATTTTGAAAAATCGAAATTGACCGTAGCAATACCGATGAAGTACTGGTGTTCTATCAATGTAAGAGCCGATGTGCTACCACTTTTCTGTCACCTTAGTGTTACCGATGCACCGCAGATGTTATACTGAGGCGCCGCCGTTGTTCTACCGATGTGCCACCGTTGACCGGAGCTATAGCGGAGTGATACCGTACCGTATCACCAGGAACGGTAGTACATCGTTAGTACATCGGCGGCGCATCAGTACTGCTTCGGTGGTATTCAGCAGTACTACGGTACACATTGAGGCCACCGAGAGCTATTACGGGGCGTTACCGGTGCTCTACCGATATTAACGAAGCCATACCGGAGTACTGCCGTTGTATTACCATTGTAGTCCTGTTGTTCACTCTGGAAGCGCAACGGCGGAAGTTTTTGAGCATAGTCAAACATTTTTTCCGTACTTAGCCTGCCGTTGCTAAATTTTTCGCCGATGTTCTGACGATGTACCACCGTTCTTAGCGATGTGAAACTGTTGTGCTGCCGTACTAGTACCGATCCCCGATAATCGCCAAATTTGTGCTCCGGTATAGCTCCGGCGACCCAAATCAGATAGATGTGACAGGACCTTTAGCAGGCCCTAAACATACCAAAATAAATCTCTGCTTTGGTAAATTGATTTTTATGGTCATACCTAAAAGATCTCGCTTAGGTCCAACATCACCAGCGTTCCAGTTCCAGGAATGTTTGGAGGGCCAAAGGGTGAAGCCTTCGTGGTGCTTGGTGACAAGCACGATGTATCTGAAACAAGGTTTAATACTTTTATACCTGCACAATTTAGTTTAATCCCTTCTGGATTAAGCATCCTCTAATGCACAAGGCAGGGACGGGTGGGTTCCCAACTTCTTCACATTATGGAGCCAGACCAAGGTTTGAATCCGAGTCCCTCCAAACTCTAGATGGGCTCTCTACCAGTTGAGCCACCTGGTTGCCAACAATCAACCCATTCAAGTTCCACTACACTACCCCCTCCTTTTTGTAAGGCCCCCCCCCCCCCCCCCCCCCCTAAGACAACACATAATTCAATGATTTATTTGTTCGGTGTTACTGTCGAATACAGGCTGTTTCCCCTAACTAAAAAGTGCCTTATTTTCCCAAAATGACCAAAAACTGAGGAATATATTCCCAATTTTGATACATATAATGCTATCTTTTCCCAATTATTAAAGGAACAGGCTGGTCAGGCTGTTGTAAAATTAGCTAAGATACCAAAACACTGCTACATGTATTTATAAATTGCAAAATTAAAAAAAAACAAACCATTTGTACTCTTGCTACTGAAGACCTTCCAGGGTCTGGTCTCGCCCCTTAGGACTTATTCATTGCGAGGTCACACCATGGAAAGGGTACACCCCTGCAGGTGGGGAATCGGTAAAAGAATACACCTGCTATTACCCACTGCATGTATCATAGAAGGCAACTAATGTGGGAACCCCCTGTAGAACTGGGGATTTGCTTTAGACTGTCCTCTATTTAGGGTCACAAAAGCGACCAAAATAAATCTGCTGCACCCATTGCAATATTTGGGATCTTTATCTTTCTTTCTACTTCTAACTACCTTTTATTTCCTAACGTCTTGCTTGGCAACAACTCGCTCATAGCCTTAATGTTGAGCGTTCGCCCAGGTGAGGAAGGCAATGGGTTCTGTCCCCAGACCAGGACATACCAAAGTCCTCAAAAATGCTAGTTGTTATTCCCCGCTTAACATTCAGCATTTAGGGAAACGGCAACAACTGGTTCACCTGTTGTCAGTATAATGTGACCGGGCGGAATGCTGTGCTGGGTTCTTTTGGCATGGTATTTCAGTGAGATAGCACTATAAAGTCGGCATTCAGATCTGCGCTATCACAAGGAGGCAAGCAAACCAACATACCCTGTCTCCTGCATACACACACACAACGGTGTCAAGCATGCATACACTGCACACATAGAGCCCGTCCTTAAATGGTAATAGGACGTTAAACAAAATTATACCAAACCAAACCAAACAGGTTGAGCCCCCCCA